AAGTTACAACAAGTAATCTAAACCTATCAAATCTTGCAATATCTTGATCCAGAGGCTAACCTATGATGTAATCATATGATTAGTTCATTCCCTCTTTTAAGAAATTTTATAATTGAATATACAGTGATATTATAAAAAAAAAATATACCAACGATCGTGGAAAACACCTGATAATATGCCCTACAAATTACTTTAAGGGGAGTCGCTACTAAAACTAGTTATTTAAAAAATTCCTTTAAAAAAATATCATATATTTTTTAAGTTCATTTAGTCTTAGAAAAAGATTTACTGCTGTAAAGTAAGAAAAAAAATTTTACATACTTTTTGGAGTTTTTAAAGTTTTTGTTGGGGGAAAAATGGGGTTTTTTAAATCACTTATAACTATTTAACTACTGAACCAATTTTATTGTTTGATATCTCATTTTAAAGAACAAGAAAGCACAAACTTTCTGTGCATACTCATGTTATTTTCTCAATAAGTTTATAAGTTATGGCTTCAAAATAAGTTTAAGAAAAATTTATAGGTAATAAATTTGTATAACAATTTTTCATGTACTGTACTTTTATTTACCCAATTACAATATTATTACCATATTACAATTATAAGAGTTCGTCGTCTTTTAGGTGATGTCAGACTTTCAAAGGTCGTTTGTCCTGAAAAACACATCTTTATATTCGATAACATTTTTCAAGAACTGTTTATCATGTTGCTTTGTGTTAAAAATTTTGTGCTAAACTGCCAATTGAACTGTCCCATTTCATGAGCTACGTTCAATCAAGATCGACCTTTCTTTATCACCTGTGTTTCTAAGACTTTATGTAGCATCAAAGGGACATTGCGTTAAACCATTTTAGAACTACTTGGTTATACACATGAAGTAAAGGTCAAATGAATACGTATTCCATTCTTTTCGATATAATTACCCCAAAGCAGTAAACAACTACGATTCGGTCTGATGACCAGCGTGACTGATTAAAATTGAATGCCATTGTAACATATTTTTTTTATATACCTACATATCTACATTCTCCTAAATCTAAATTGTTATAACATAAATGTTGGAATAAATATTTGATTAGATACATAATTTTTAATTTACCTACACCAATTAGTTCATATAAACCGTATTTTTAAGACTTATTTAAACTCAAACCACGCCAATACAAGTTCAAGAAGTCTGCGATGTTTTATATAAACGACAGTACATAAAATAAACCAGCAATGTCGACGCATGTAAACCAGCAATTTCGACATGTTACTCACTCTGCATTTAACACTGCCGAGCCTAATGTGCTGGTAGTCAATTACACATCCAATAAAATGCAAATGACGCTAGTGTTTACATTAACACCACACCAAGCTTTGGAGGTGAAATCAAATTAGGTACCTGTTGTGCTAGGGAAATATGTCGTAGATTAAATCACTTTCTTACTCGGCTTGAAAAAAAGTGTTTGGATAAAAAGGCCTCTGTATGTTTTATAAGATATGCTACTTTGAAGTGAGACAGAGTACGAGGCTAATATGTTTGTTTTGTTAGGTTTTTTTAATCATTCAACATTTAAGATCACAATTTTGTAAATTTATCTGTATTCTTGATTACTTTGTGCATCAACTAGAGGATATAACACAGCAAAGCCAGGTTTAGTTAACTCCTAGGCTAAGACCTAGATATAAATTAACTTAGGGGAATGTCTCTGCCTATATCAGCCAATGCAATATACATTCTGAATATTAACTACATAGAGCTAATGTAATTTAATTCACGGCGTTGCAGAGACGAGCGTCGTATCCCATACCTGGCCAGATCTGGGTTTATCAGGAATTTTCAGTGCAAGAACGTTCTAAGTCCAATGTAGGGATCAGGAGCGCAGAGAGCGGTAGGCGACAGAACAGAGCCACGACAATCTTCTACATTTTACAGTACTATTACCGTTGACTTTGGATACTGCCAGACCAGAGATTTGTTGTGTAATTAATTTATGTCCGATTACTTTTGAGTGCTCTCATTAAAAAAATTGTTTTCTCTCATTTTTGAATTATTTCACAACACGAGCTTCATTCGGTTACAAATATTACCTGAGGACAAAGTATTAGTTTAAATATCTTATATCGTTTTATTTGGCTACACTAGTTTCGATGTTGGTGAAATAGTGAGGAATAACCTAAACAAGCGCTCTAACAATATCGTACTGAAACGCAACGAAGAAATTACATACAACGTCCCCCTCAACGCCGACCTCATTCATGAATGAGAAATGGTTTTTTCCTACAGTCACCCGACAAAGTGGGCTTTCTTGCACAGATTATAGTACAGAAAGCCTTACTTTGGTGCACAGTGTTTACTTTGGTGCACAGTGTTTACTTTGGTGCACACCAGTATTCCAACCAAACAACACAAAACAGCGTGATTTTTTTTGTTTTAAAGAGGTTGGCGGCCTCTTTTAACCTTGCATTTGCCCGTCCACATAGACTAAATTTATCATTCACGATTTTATAACTCACGTAATCCGTGTACGTTTGAAAATAGTTGTGGAGAAATAAGTAGTAGATTAAATAACTTTTTTACTTGGTTTGAAAATAAAGTGTTTGGATAAAAACTCCTCTCCATGTTTTAAGATATGCTACTTTGGAGTGAGACAGATTACGACGTTTAATGTTTGTTTTGTTAGGTTTTTATATTAATTCAACATTTATTTAAGATCACAATTTTTTAAGATATAAATTAACTTAGGAGAATGCCTCTATCAGCCAATACAATTTAAATTCTGAATATTAACTACACTTTGTATATAGCTAATGTTTAATTCACGGCGCTGCAGAGACCAGCGTCGTATCTGGCCAGATCTGGGTTGATCGGGAATTCTCAGTGGAAGAACGTTGTAAGTCCAATGTAGGGATCAGGAGCGCAGAGAGCTGTAGGCGTCAGAACATAGCCCCAACAATCTTCGAACAAGCTTCTGCTACAATAATAAAAACCACTGGCTATATTACCGTTCACTTTGGATATTGCAAGACTAATCATTTTATTTCACGAAATCACTTGTTTTTTGCGATTTATTTCCGGATACTTTTTAGTGCTCTCGTGTAAAATGTATTTATTCTATTTGTGTATATATTTCACAGTACGACCTTCATTCGTTGGTTACAAATAATATCTGAGGACAAAGAATTAGTTTATCGTTTCATTTGGCTACAGTCTCAACGTTGGTGAAATAATTAATGAGAAACAAACGTAAAAACGCGCTCTACAAATATCGGACTGGAACAAGCCTTAAAATTGTGAGTTCACCAATGAAAGTGTCGATATGTTATAAAAAAATTCTGAAAGTGTTGTTCGTAAATATATTTGCAATAGCAATAGATAACATTATATCCGTACAATTTACTAAGTTTTTAATGCTGAAAAAAACAAACTTTTCGAAACATCCTGTTTTGGGTTCAAAGCATTAATGCAATCCTCAAATTTCTCAAATTTTGAATTAAACATATAAAGCCTACAGAATTTCGAAAAAACTTAATTAAAACAAGTTATTTTGAGAACTAGCACATACTTGAAACCGTAGTATGGATCAAGTTTCTTTGTTCGATGTGATTACTAACCCCTTTCTGAGATTCTGTCTTGGGTGATAGGAAAAACAATATGGACAGAATTTGTGGAGAAACGCATCTGGGTTGAGTGGAAGAAGGGCGTATGTGCACAGTTACATATCCGGATCGCAGAGTGTGGTAGAAAGTTTTATCATGTGTTACAAAATGATAAAATATTATGGTTACGGGATTCTATGCTCTGTGATACGGGATTACATTAATAATACAATAATATTCCTTGCAACTTAACATCTTTTACAGTATTCATATAATAAAAACATGATTTTTCTTTGAGAAGTTAACAATACTTACTACAGGTAGTACAGTATTTGTTTTACAATTATTATAAAATAATGAACATAACTACTGGTTGGTTATATTGCTGTGAATACTTACAAGGAGTAACTGTGTTTACGATTTCACAGGTTTTTTAGGCCCAATTTTTCAAAAAATTTAAATTCCCTTTGTGTGTCCGCTGAGAAGAAGTATGCAGTGGAAGAAGGGGCTAAGTCCATAGGAAAAGATCCGGAGTGCAGAGTGTGGTAGAGGTTTAAATTGGGAGAGGTGTTGTTTTTAACAAGTTTTAATGATGTTCCAGGTTTTTCTTATTTTACACAGCAATACAAATTTTTACGGCCCGGTATGTTTTTAACCAAAGTGTTACATGAATCCCAAATACTGTATTTACTTTATCTACAATTTAGATTGTTTTAACATCTGTTTTACAATCATGTCTGCCCACACTGCCATTTAACAAGATGAGTTTCAGTAGAAATATTTAAAGTCAAGGCCGGAAACATTGCGGACGTATCTAGTATTTGCGACGGTGGAAAATGTGTAAGGTACATGCCACTGATATTTTTTTACATTAGTTACGCAATGTATTTACGTCTAAAATTACAAATAAAACAAAGGTACTTCAACCAAATACTATAACAGTTTTAAGACTATGTCAGAAACTTTTCCTAGAACGTACCAATTTTTAAAACCCCTTACCTCGTGTTACCCGGGATTTTTCATTTTTCTTGCCACTACATTCTATAACCGCATTGAAGCAAAATTTTTAACAGGGAATAGCCTACCTGGGCCAACGCGATTCAAATTACTGTATAATCATAATTCATAAGTATAACAAATACTATGGTCACCAACTACTCCTCATATTTTCTAGGAAACAGAATAATTTCAAAATTTATGAAGGTTTGTCTTCACAAGAAAATAAGTTATATCAGTAAAAATAAATCAGTTTTTATATAGTAGTATTTCGATACAAGAGCTTTGTAGTACTGAATCAACTGTTCAGTTGGCAGTACCCAGCTCACACAAAGATCACCTGTTACGACGTTTACGTGTCTACTGTCTATTTACTTTTAAATTGTCAGGTGTTTAAGGTTAGGTTACAATTTACAATTCGTTTTGTACATTATTTTTAACCTATACCGAATCTTAGTTTATGTATACAGTAATAATCTATCTATTTTCATTAGCTATCTTAACACTTAACATTCACCGTGAAATATTTTGAAGTAATTTTATATTAACAATGTCTTGGATAAGGGATAGCTCATTAACCTGGGCCCAATTGTTTTGTGTAAGAGTTTTGAAGTGTGGTGTGATTCCAAAGCATGTCGCTTTTATTATGGATGGTAATAGAAGATATGCAAAACAAACAAATGTCAAGAAACTGGACGGTCATTCAAAAGGGTAAGCTCTTTGCAATAGCCTACATGGATACACAGCGGCTGTACTGTGAGCTAGGCCTAGTGCTGAATCATGTGTCCATAGCTCATGGATTAAAGACGTTAGTTAACGATCAGCTTTGGTAGGCCTAAATATTAGCTTAACAGTCTGCTCAAATGGATGGTAGGCCCTAAGTGAAAACACAACATTATTGGACTCGGTAGAATTTAGATAGGAGCAGTACACCATTACCTACGGGTGTTTACCTGAATAGAGCCTACGTCGAGTATCAGGGGATAAAAATAATAAATTTAATCAAAACTAAGAATTAATAGACTGAATCATAGTCTCCATAATATGTTGGCCTGTTCATTGGCCTATTTCGATCATAACTAATTGACACATCTGTTTCCAGGTTTGACAAGTTAGCCGAAACACTTCAGTGGTGTTTAGACCTTGGAGTATCGGAGGTAACTGTTTATGCGTTCAGCATAGAGAATTTCAAGAGGAGTAAAGATGAAGTTGATGATTTGTTGAGATTGGCCACACAAAAATTTCAGCGTCTTCTTGATGAAAAGTATGTAAGCCTACATCACCTGTAACAATTTGTGTGGTTTATTTGATTGTTGTTGGTTGTATTTAACTTTATGGCATGAATTAGGCCTAGTCTAGTTAGAATTAGAGCAGGGCCGAGTTCCGTTTGCCTAAACACTTTGACGAGGGTCATTTTACAGCCTAATGCTTGGTGGGGCGAGTGTCGGCCAGGTATCAGTGACCAGTTCCACGGTGCGGCAGGTATGGAGGTGGAAAGATTGACCGGGGGGGAGGAGCAAAATTTTTTTTAGGGACAAGATGAAACTGTTATAACCTAACCAAGCTTGCTGATTATGAAAAAAATGAATAAGAGTACTAATCGAATCAATATTCATTTTCAATTGATATTAGGGTAGCCCAAAACTGTACCCGATCTCCGTTACGTCCTGCCCACTACACCCCCTTCCACTTAATGACTTCCAAAGTATCAGTTAATTCAACTTTAAGTTAGTTTGTTTCATCCAGTATTATTCAACTTGTATTTTGCAGGGACAAACTAATGGAAAATGGAGTCAGAATCAGAGTAATTGGGAATATTTCATTACTTCCGCCAGATTTGACCAAACTGATCGCCGAGGTGGAACTTCTGACTAAATACAATAACAAAGCAATTCTCAACGTGGCTTTTGCTTATACAGGTAAATAATTCTTAATTCCTCATCACTAATGTGCCAGCTGATGAACTTACTTAGGTTTAACTGAAAATATAATTACATTCTGTAACCAATAAAAAAACTTGAATGACATAAATAATTATGGCCTAAGCTTCTGATTGCACATGGTCTTCAGTAGTGTTACGTCTGTGTGTATGAGACCTGGTAGTCGAGTTGTTATAGGCTAGTGCTCCCCTAACAAAAGGTCGCTGGATCGATCCTGAGAAAAGTCCGTAGCTTTTTGATAGTTAAAAACTGATCCCAGCTGTTCCCGATCATCGGGCTTTAAATAAATGATCATGACTAAATAAACAGCTGCTTAGGCCTGTGTCCTGCGTGAGCAACAGGAGCGACGCAAGCAAAAACGCTAGAATCCCTAGAATGTTGCAGATTTTTGTGTCTGACACGAGTGACACGGACGACGATTTATTCTAGCTGCTGTCGCTGTCAACACTCACACCGCATGGTACGGGCGTGTCCTATGTGAGCGACGCTGGCGACAATAGCAACAGCAGGGATAGCTGCTACACATGCAAGTGACAACAGCGGCAAGATACAATATAGTTAAAAAATACGCTCTCAACGGACGCTGCCACTCCTGTCGCCCACGTAGGGCCGGGCCTTAGTAACAAAGCTACACAGAACATCACACCCCATTCTACACTCATCCTTCACTCATATTTGGGTTAAAATACGCACCTAGGTGGTGTCATCTCAATGATTGGTAATAATTTGTATGTATATAAACAATGCAAACATCGCCCAAAACTGACTGTTCAAGACTGGAAGCTAATCCTGTTGTGGGAGCACACGACTAAAGCGGCCTACACACTACACGTGCATTGCACGCCGTGCCATTTTTTATATTGGCACGACGTGCAACACACACTTGATCTTCAGTGTAGCCTACAACGTGCTAAATTACATCGTCTGTTCGTACAAATGAAATGCAGAACAGAACACACACATGTTTTAAGGACATTGGACATGATTAATTGATTAATCATTAAAAATAGACACAAGGCAGCAGCACTAAGCCACCTTAGTGCCTAGGTTAGTCCAGACCTTGCACCTCGCTTCCGTACAGATATATGCCGGCAGGGCACTTGGTTCACAATACTGTGGTGGAGGATGTATGCTCTATGATATATTATATAGAGATCTATGACTGCGTCTTGGCTCACGCATCACATACAGCGCGCGATCCATTGTGTTATAATCTCGATGGTCGTGCCAATTATCAATTATTTAAGATGGGGACGCCACTATGTGCGTATTTAATCCGTGTTGCAAATGGCCAAGACATAATGCCGTTGATTCACTAATAAGAAAGTACTTATAGGGTCAAATCCTGTCAAAAGTGGTTGAACTACCAGCACGTGGCACGGAGACCGCCTACACCTCAGAATGGCATGCTTTGGCACGGCACGCCAAAAATCAAACTCGTCTTGATTTCCACCATGCCATGCCAATGCACGCCGTGCTTGCACGGTGTTCACCACACACTTGCACGTTTTGTCAGTTTTTGGCACGGCGTGCAATGCACGTGTAGTGTGTGGGCCGCTTAATGCCCGTGTCTACCAGGCCTAAATTTCAACACTGGTGTTGTCCCTTATATTATTTGTTACGTCAGTTTCAACAATACAGACTTAAAGTCTTGAATTAGTTTGATATCAGACAAACTCGGTGATTGTTGACATGTTTTTGTTACTTTCTATGTTTTTCCTAACTTTTAGCTTTCCAAAAGCTAGTTTAGGTAGTATAAATATTTGAGACTTTACTATAAATTTAATTTGAGGTTAAGCACGTAAGAGATTAAAGTTTTTAAAGATTTTTTTAGGATATCAGAAATTTATTTGATTGGGAAAAGAGTCTACTCTGGCACAAGAAACACAAAACTTTACACTATACACCAAAAATAGAATACTTCACTACTGATACCATTTTAAATCAAGAACCGTCTGAATGGGAGAGATAGAGTTTTAATGAGAGATGTTACTCTCTCTCCAACTCAAACCTTACTTGGTTGAAAATGCTGTCAGTGATATTGAAATATTTTAATTGTTGTGTATAGTGTAAAAGTAATTGGTTTCTTATGTCGGGTGGACTCTTTCATCTAGATAAGTCTGCTAAAATTTAATATCTTGACAGTTTGATCAACAATCTTTGCCTATGTGCTTTACAGCCAGGGACGAGATGGCGGAAGCTATGAAGCAGATGGTGGAAGGTCATCGCTCCTCAGACCTGGACCTGAGTGATATCAATGTGCAGTTGTTGTCCAAATCTCTTTACACCATGGACTCTCCGTACCCTGACTTGTGTATCAGAACGTCCGGGGAGAAGCGACTCAGTGACTTCCTTCTTCTTCAGGTACAACATTCAGAATATTGGAGTTCTTAGATTAGTTTAGCCCTTAGAGCCCCAGTGTACTCTTTTGCCCTTTTAAATCATGTTTTCTCTTGTCTTGAATGACACAATCTCTATTTTGAAATTCTGTAATATTACAATACAGGTTTTCTGTGGACACAAACACAATAAGGGTTTTCAAAATGGCTGATCAGATTTGCAACTCACATAAGTGCACTATTTCGATCAACTTTAACTGTAATATTGTGTATGGATGGTATTGGAAATAAACAATATCAGCAAACTGACACATACTTTCTCCCAAGCATATTACAATTAAATAACTCTTAAATAATTAAGTTTAAATTTTTCCTGTTTATTACAGACGGCCTACAGCTACCTCTACTTCACGGATGTTTTGTGGCCCAACTTCACAGCTTGGCACTTATTAGCAGCTGTTTTCCACTTCCAGCGAGCTTATCCCACTCTACTCAAAGTCCGATCATCCCTTCCAAAACCACCTCTCTCCGATAAAGCTGCCAAGTTCTTGGAGAATGTGGAGGAAAAACATTGGAAAAAAGCAGCAATCGCTGCCTCATCGTAGAAGTCTGATTCTCTTAATGTATATTCAAATGTTGAAAAAACACTGGGTTATGTAGAATATGGTGTATATAGTCGGGAGCAATATAATTTGTGTACATAGTGATTATGAGACATTATATTATACTTTAAGTAGTGGATGTATTATATTTTATCCGCAAATAGTGGATTTGAACAAATGTTTCCATTTTAAATAGTTTAGGTTGATAGGATTTGTAAATACAATGTAACTTAAAGTCTTGTGATGTAAATTCATGTGATATTTGTAGTTGTTTCATTCGTAATATATTTACTTTTACTTCACCTGTATTTTCATTTCTTTCTGTTATTATGTTGTTCCAACACTCAAAATTAACTTGCATATTTTTATTTTTGGTTTGTTAAGTTCTGATGACTCTTAGATTTATGAAAGATAAAACCAGGATTGCCACCCGTCCAGATTCTATGGCGACAGTTCCGACTTTGGACTTTTTTTCAAGTGGCATTTTACGAGAATTACGAGAGATAAATGTTCAATGGATGTGCCGGGGATTGAACCCGTCCCTCCCGCACCGAAGTCCGAGACGCTAACCACTAGGCTAGCAACACAACCAAACTCTTTTGCTATTTATGATAACAAATTTGCTTCAATGGAGACAAGATTTCTTCTATTTCATTTGATTTCTTATCTATTATTTTTCTATTTAATAGAGAGAGAAAGTATGTATTCTTCATCTTCAAAATTAACAATTGAGTCAAACAATTTTGATAAATAAAAAATGTGAAATAATTATCATCATTTTAAAGAAATTAGACTCAAATAATTTTTCCTCTTGACATTTTTATTTTCTTATTTATATAAAAATGTAACTTTTTACAAAAGGCCTTGGTAATCCTCAAACAACTACATTGTTCAACGCTAGTAGTTTACTTATTTTCGAGAAAAAAATATTTTTTCCTACACTTACCTAACAATGTAGAGAACATGTACATTGTACATTGTTAGGTAAGTGTAGGAACAAATATTTTTCCTAGAAAATAAGTAAACTACTAATGTACATGTTCTCTCACTGATTTGAGAAAGCAAAGTGGCCAATTCGCTCATTAGTGAGACAATGAACATTGTCTCACTCCAGATTTTCAACGTGAAGGCACGAAAGTGGCCAATTCGCTCATCAGTGAGAACGTTGTCTCATTCAAATTACTTTGTCTCACTCTAGATTTGCACCGTGAAGGCACGTTTCTTTACCAATTTATTTGTTTTATGGTAACTCTAGGAAAAATATAATGTGCAACTCGAGTGCAAAGTGCAATCGCCTCACTCGAGAAACCATTCCTCACTCGCCTACCAAAACGTTTAGTCACACGCTTACCTGTGAGTAAGGATTTCTCTCGAGTGAGGCAATTGCTTACTTTGCTCACTAGTTGCATAAATAACTATTGTTTTTGAAAATCGGTTTAATTCCTGTGTCAACAAAATTTTGCAAGAGTAAACCTAGAGAAATTGAAAAGGTACAGACAAACAGGGCATTTTTAGTATGGCCATAGAAATAAATAAATTAACACTCATTCTGACATAATACTTTATTAAATAAGAACAGATATCCTTTGTTGTTTATTTATTTTATATACATGTACAAAGGAATAATCCTTAAATAGGTTGGTTTGTTGGTTTATTATACTTTAAAATTACACACAATATTTACTAGTTTTTCTAGTTATTAAGTTGGCATCTCACTAGAAGAGTTAAAATAGGCCTAGTCTAATTTTATGACACATAAAATGAATTATGCTTTGTGAAAAGTGGCAAGCAAGAATTGTTAGGTTTGATTTTTTTTAAATGTATCCTCTCAATAGTCTCAACTCAATTGATTTTATATGATCAAGTCCTTTATCAGTGGGAAAAAATTAATAATGTGTATTTTATGGTTCAAAAAGAAATGTTTACAATCGTAAATGGGTGGAAGTATTGTTATATTATTTAAGTTAAAAACTTCTAAGACTGTTTAACATTTTTGACATGAAATGACTAACTGTGTCCCAATCTGGGAATTCATGTGTAGACTTAAGATATATTGACTATCACATTTTGAGATTTCAATCCAAATAACAACTTAACGATCATCTTTGACAGTGTATATATTCTTCATAATTTAAGAGGTTTTGCCCCATTAGCATATACACTAATGCATAGGCCCTAGTGATGATATATACTATTAAAAGTACATAATTTATTTCCCAAATTGGGTAATGATGACTTCCAATGTTTGCAACTTTATGCAGGATCCACGGGCCCACCCCTTGTCACTGTACTTCAGGTTTTCGCAAAAGTTGTCACTGCCTGCTGCCACTTTACTTGTATTGGTAAGTGTTAATCAGACGCACCTGCGACTAAAACTTTGGGTGGTAAGGCTGGTTTTCTTTACAGTCAAATTTGGTAGGAACTGTATCCCGCAGCGGGCTGCAAGACCGCTCTAAGAGCAGTTCTTTTTTGAAGAGTTAACCAATTCAGTTAACTACTAACTACTAATTCCATCCGTTTAATAATTTCAATTACTTTAAGTTCTTTAATATATTCAGTAAATTACACTTTAAATTGAGACCGTTTTGAAATAGGTTTAATTCAGCATATTAAAGCAAACTTAATTTTCTTTATCCAAGGATAAAAAATTTATGAAATTAGTTGTGGGATATGACTTAACCCTTTGAGTGCCAACGCAACGATATATCGTTTTGCACAACACATCTGAAAAATACATTGCAACGATATATCGGGCCGGCGCGACTTTCGATCATGTGAGTTTTAATGGGTATATCGTTTGACTCGGTTGTTATTATAAAACAACAATGATTTCAATTGATTTTTCATACGATCGAGGCACAATATATCGTTCCATGGCACTTTTGGGATGGAATTTTATACTTTAACCGATTTTTATTCTTGCGCACTACGCTTCGCCCCCACGGAAAGCCTGGCACTCTTCAGACATAACTAGTAAAAAAATTCTGGCACTTTTCAGAAAGTACCAAAATCAATTTCTGGCACCCAAAGGGTTAAGATAAATTACCATTTACTGCACATCCATATTTCAAGAACGCATGGGACAAACTATAGACATTAGACTACTTAAAACTGTCGCGTGAACCCACTTTGCAATTAAATATTGTACTTATAGGAAAATGACCTTGCCAAAAAACGCAGGCACTAGAAAATTAGCACGACACTCACAACATAGCAGTATTCGGCAGCTATGGAAACCAGCCTTTACTAATTGTCCTAGGGGAACGTCTTTGGCCCCGACCCTTTCTGTCACCTCTTGATTGGTATCACTGTCAAAGATGATCCATTGCGTTGTCTGCAGTCTAACACTGAGTGTAATACATGATTGGTTCATTGTTGATATCACTGTTGAAGTTTCCGCACAGACCACAAGTGTATCCTCGGAACAGTCCTGGTACCAGCGCCACGATGGTCTTTGTGTAATGTTGGACGACAACCCCGTTGTGTAACTCCACGTCCACCTGGCCGCCTTGCTTCACCGAGATGCTGACGACAGAATTATGGAAATTATTAGTGAAATCACTGAGTTTTAACATGTAAAATCTACTTCAAACATGTCTAATGCAAGGTTTGAAAGTGTAATTTTAATTTAAAACTGAGCCTTAATATAAATTAAAAGTACTTGTATTTCCAAGTAATATTACACATTCACTACCAACTGACACTAGTGACACTACAAACATGACATGAAATGCAAGTGAGTCTCCTAGGAAACAAGTCGAAATTCCACTTTACCTAGTGCTCAATATCAAATTAACTGCTAACAACGTAGATCTTTCCAAGTGCTCACACTTCTGAGCAGTTCATGGTCTACCGAAAGAGTTTTAAAGTGATTAAAATCATAAGCACCAACTCAGCTTACGTCTTTTAGCATTCATTATCAAATAATGTATTCGTTTCAACATATTTTTTTTAATCGCACACCTAGTGCCTAAGTGGAACTGACATAGGTTAAGTAAAGTGATTATTGATATATCTTGAGTGGTACTGAGATTAGTGAAATGTAAATGGTCTATTGATAGTTGTAAATCACCTAAAGAAAGGTTTGGTGGTGTTAGAGGCTCCATGCTCATAGTCCTCAGTTATTGGGTTCAGTTTGATGTTCTCATTGACAAACACATCTATTGTTTCTTCAGTAGTGGGCAGAAGTTCGATGACATCACTCCCAACATATATTTTCACAGCCTGAAACAAATGGCGAGAATTGTCTAATATATTCACTTATATTTCCACTATAATTTGTGCAGTTGATTATTGCACCTTTTAGCGAATTTCCCTATAGGGAAGTAGCTATTACCGTAGGTGGCACGGTAAGACCTAGACCCGGGACCGATTTACTTTTTCATTTTGATGTCCCCAGAGGCCAAAAACACTATTCGTTTAAATTTTTATATATGTATATATATATATATATTATATATATACGTCCGTGAACGCGATAACTTGAGTAATTTTTTTCCGATTTTGATGAAATTTGGTTTAAAGGTGTAAAGCGGGATAAACTTGAATGAGTTCGCGAACCAGCACGATCGGACCATGGGAACGGGGCTTTACGGGGGGTTTTATGGGGTAAAAATTGGTTTTTCTCACTTTTGACCCTCAAAACACAAAATTTCCCAATTTCTCTTTAGACCTTTTTAAAGAGCTTAAAAAAACAAATAATTTAGTATATAAAAGTATTTTTGTTCGAATATTAGTAACGGAGAAAATTAAAAAAATTGTAAATTTAAAATTCCCATGTTATTCTTATGGACAAAATTGTCAAATGTTGTAGTTTGCTTGTTTATGAATATATTTTGATCAAACTTGGCAAATTTATTTATTTTGTACTAAGCTATCAATATTTTACTCAAAAACACACTTTATTAGTTTCCTTGTAGCAGCAAACCTAGGTACTCGTTAAACCTAATGTTATTAAAATATATTTAACTGAAAATCAATTCAGACAAATGGAAATTCGCTTAGTCGGCAGGTTTGCTGCGGCGGGGGTATTTAATAATAACTAAGATAGTTAGTGATTGTCCCGCTCATCTTTAGAACAATCTACTTTCCTCCATGAAAATGTACTATATAAGTATCCTCCCTTTGTGGCGGCACTTCAAAAATTGTCTTTGGTTAAGCGCATGGCCTCGGTTGGTAAGTCTTTGGACTGTTTTGTGCTTATGTAATTGCTAAGTGAGTGTTTGAGTCAGTTTGTTAGTTAATTTTTTGTTTGAAAGAGGAAATTTTTGTAAATACGGTATAGTGTAAGCAGGTTAACTACAAAAAAGGGTCAAATAACAGTAACCTGCCCTGTAAATAATGGATATTAATTTCTATCCATTTATCGACTTTGAAACCTATCTTAAACGTACTGTAATGCTGTATTTCTAATAATGTATTAAATTAAAAATGTTTAGACTTCGTTAGTAAAATGTATATTTTTACTTATTACCTTGCAGCAAACCCAAAAAATATACCGAGAATCAATAGTTTTACATGAAAGTTCAAAACACTATTTATTAGCAACACCAATAATATTAAAGAAATAATATGAAGTTATTCAAGCAAACTACATTTTTTTTTTATATACTAATCTAATTGACACATCCTCACCAGATGTTGATTCACCACTTTCTTGACGAGAACAGCAAACGTAGTGTCTTGCGAACAATCGGCCACCATGACAGTGAAGCAGCCAGTCAGAGACAAGTCGTAGCTCGTTGTGTTGTCCAGAGTGAGAACTGATTGGCTGTTGACAGCACAAAGACCTACAACAAGGTTAAAAAAACTTACCCACAACATATTACATGGGTTGTAAGTTGCTTGAACCTGGGGGACTTTGTCGATTATAGACAAAAAGAATCGTAGGGGACAAAATATTGTAAATGAGTACTATGTCCTATCTGGACTGGAGCCAGGTGCCAGGTTTTGTAATCCTTCCTTTCTAAAAATCATAATCCTGGCCTAAGGCTAGGCGCACACAAGCGATTATTTCATCGGCCGATCTGTGCACCATATATTAGAATGGAAGCGCGCACACAGGCGATCGAGAATTGCGCCGATTTTAAAATCTGGGTTTTGCTGCAGATTCGTAGGCGAGGCGATTGTCGCCCGGAAATCTGTAACTTACAGGTTGTTATCAGTCCGTGCACACGGTCGACTAAAAAATCGGCCAGTTGCTTGTTGTTCTCCACAGGAGTCAGTGAACTTCAGTGTGAGTTGTGTTGTTTTCTTTGCTAAAAAGGCCACAGCTGTTATAATAAAAACTGAAACTTTCAACAGACATTCTATAGTAACTAAAGAACTTTTTACTGTCATCAAGTAAAGTGTATGGTTTATAAAACTGTCGATTAAAAAGTCTCTGACTTACTATTGGATGAACCCAATATTTAAATTATCTTCTTTTTTTCTTTGATCTAATTAGAAGAGCACAAACACAGGTTAATTCAACAAAGTCCATTTTAGGATAGCTTAAACGCACTCAAAAAATCCATTTCTCGACTAAAAATTCACTACGTGTGCGCCCGGACATAAATCAAGTGCGATTTATTTTTGGCCGATTTTTTAATCGGCCGATCGAAAAATCGACCGTGTGCGCCAGGCCTAAGAGCGTTTCCTTCTAAAGCAACAAATTTGTTCAAGAAGAAGCAGTCTAAATTAATTTTATAATCACAATGAGAATTAGTACGTTAGAATATTCCATGGGTTGCAAATATGGTATCTGAAAAGTTAAACTAAAAACTTGAATGTCCAGATTTTGGTTCTCATAAATCGTGTTTCTCACCTTTTGTACTCCATGATGGCAAAGCCGCTGGGAAACTAAAGTCAATCTTGGTCGAGGAACTCTCCATTTGCACATGTTCAGGAAACAGAGCGTGGGCGGCAGTTATCAACCATCCTGGCAGCTGTGGATGGAAAGGAAAGTACTTGTGAAATACACGATTAAACACATTTACATCAATTTATTTATGTCTGATCTTCACTATAAGAGCAAAATGTAGCGATGGTAATAAAAATTAAACATACCTTTTGTATCAGCAAAATCATACAACAACTAATATATTATGAAATTTAAAGAGGAATGTTTGTTCAGCAAGAATAAATTAAATAATGGGAAAGACAAAAGTAAAGTACATGCGATTTTGTCCAGTTACTTATGAAAAGTGAATTTTTTCTTAAGTTCTCAATATTACCGTAACTAATAAATTATTTGTATTTGATAGTTAATCTTTTTAGATGTGTAATAGTATTAGTCCGAAAATAGGTGTTTCCCGTATGTGTATGGTAAACACATTTTGGACGAGTGACGTACGGTTTTTTTCACCCATTTTCCTAAATCTGGCCTTGGAACAATCCCAGCACACCAATGAAGTCACAATTCGCAACAACCACAATAGAGACTCACGTTGACATACTGTGTGGTGGCGACCTGCTGCGTCGCTAGCTCCATCACAGACTGAAGACAGGTAGGTGAGAGGTCATCACAGGTCAAATTCTGGTTCTCACTGTGAGCTGCGACTACCTTCACATCCACCACTGCGGCCTTGTCTGCGTGAGTCGGTGACGAGTCACCCCATGAGATAAACGTGTAGCCTGGTAAAAAAACCGGTAAGAGTAAAGGATGTTTAGTGATAGTCATTATACATAAATAACTGGGGTATTATAGTGCTTGCCTAAAAAGATCACCTTAAAAATCTCAGTATCTTCAGCTAAAACTCGGTAGAAATTTTGTCTGTACATTTATAAAACGGTGATAATAAAACTTGGTTTACTGAGACTATTGTAAGTTTCTATTTGTACCTGTCCCAAGGAAAAATGTGGGAATATCTGTATAGAACTGATCTCTTTGCTGAGTTTCTTTTTAGTAAAACATATTGATCTGTTCCCACACAAACCCAAATACGTGGAACCTATGTCATAATGGAAGCGGTTGTTTTTGTTGGGTCGATTGACAGTTCACGAGTTGATTGTTTATTACATTGATTAAATCAAATCTTGATCAAATAATCTTTTGAAAGTCTTAACTCCTTATATAAACGTCTGACTAAGGCTATTTGCAAATCGTACAATTTAACATCTTGGTAATATATTTCAATTTCAAACCTCCCTTTTCTAGTCCCTTCATCAGTTGCATTATTTGTGGAATAAACTTGACGCTTTTAAGGAAAAGAGGATTGAGCCACAAGAATTCTTGCAGACATACTGGGGAAGAGTCAAGAATCAAGCATTAAGAAGATCAAGGGTAGATAAGAAGCAGTAGACTTATATGAACTGGAATAGACACGTACTAAGATTAGGAAAAGAATATAACCTGAAAACATCCTGAAGGGAACAGTAGAAGGAAGAAGATCCAGAGGAAGATCAAGACCTAGATTGTGGGATCAGGTCTAGCAAGAAATGAGACTTTTGGGAATTGAAGAAGATCCTGAGGTCAGAGACAGGTGGAGACTCTGTGTTGCTGAGGCCAAGTACCAAATGGCCATGGCAATGAATAAATGAATTAATACTGGGAATCAAACTGTACCTCTTACACCTTCTGTCCAAGACGCTGACGCAACACACACAATCGTACAAAACCACTAAACATCTACCTGACACGGGCGCAGGAGGGTTGAACACGTTGGCTCTCCCCGAGGGTAGTACAAACGCTCCCTCCAGCTGTATCACTCTCCAGATGTTGCTGACGGTGTCGCGCACGCTTGGAGTGTGGTACAACTTGAACGTCAACTCCCGTTTGCCGTTGGAGATCTGTCTGAAGCCTGCCTGTATCTCCCACAACACTCCGTCCTTCCGGGACATCTGGAGACGTAACTGCTTCTTCTCCAAAGTCAGCACTGGCTCCACCTGACAAAGGAGTGATGAGGTGGTTATCTTGACTAGATGATTCAATTAATTCATGTATTGGACCATCAATTTTGAGCCGTTTCTTAGAGAGTAGCAAGTCTAAATAAATGGTGATGTTTTTATTTTACATTAGAAGATGAGTTTATTCTTTAAAAACGCACCTCACCTCTCGTTAAGCACATGAATAAATTTAAGTAAATTGAATCGATATGATAAGTTTACAGTGCTTATTTTATGTCTAGATATTTGAGTTGCATCACGGATTCGTACAAAAGACTGACCTGAGACAACAAAGGCGTGAATGACAACATAAGACCACATCTGCTGCCTGGAGGCTGGAATGCCAAGTGTTCCTTGAGTGAGAACAAACCCAGTAGAACAACTCCTCCCGGCACCATCCTGCAATGTACATACAATCAAGTGCAATATCTATTCAATGAGTCAACAAAACAACTCCTGTACTTTTAAAAATTTATAAAGTAATAAAGAGAGAACATCGTTAGGCCTATTTACTTTCTCTTAAATTTTATCTCTGAAGAAGTCCTATTGGGACAAAATATCAGTGCCATATTTTGTGACCTTTTTATTGTGTTTACTAGCTGACCCGGCGAACTTCGTATCGCCTAAGTTATAGGTTTCCCCTAAGACAGACCGATGGAAAGAAAGTACCGTTACGTTTAATTTTCAAGATGATCTCGTTCGCATCGCTCAATCACGTCCTGGTTGAAGTTCGTTCGCTACCCTCACTCACCTTTGGGTTGGAGCTCGTTCGCTACGCTCACTCACTTTTAGGTTGGAGATCGTTCGCTGCGCTCACTTGCCTTCAGGTTAGCTCGTTCGCTACGCTAACTCGCCTCCAGGTTGAAGTTCGTTCGCTACACTCACTCACCTTTTGGTTGGAAATTAGCTGTTGTCATAAATTAAAAAAAAAATAGTGCTGCACCCTGTTGGTAATCCTTGTAACTTTAATGCTATTGAACATCATAGAACAGAACCAACTTGTTTAATTGAAACAGCTGTTAAGATTCATTAATTCCATTTCTCATAAGGTTAACATGGGAAACTCCAGAGCCACTGGGGCGGAGCCCTTTTAAGAATTTCGAAACGGGAAATAGTTTACGTCCGATTCGCATACCTACAGAATTTACACACCAAATTTCATAACGATCGGTGAAGTCGTTCCGGAGGAGTTTGCAGACAAACACTGTGACACGAGAATTTTATATATTAGATTAGCTGGACTCTGGTTTTCTCTGGTATTCAGCTGAATTTTATACCATTTAAAAGTGTTTTAAAGTGTTTAAAAACAAAACACTTTTCTACTACAGTGTTAAAGTTAAAAGGTTTACTTACTGGTAGTTTTTCTCTTTGGTCAAGAAAGCTTTTTTCAGCAGATGTAGTGCGTCTCTTATTGTTGACTTGCCGGGACAGTTGAAAACACTTGCTCCAAGCCTGGCTCCAAGGTCTTCCGAGTCCATCGTCCATTCCTTGACAGCAACAGATTGTTGTGTTTAACTCGATATTATAATGTATTGATGTAATGAATTTAGTGATTTTATAAACTTACAATTTTCTTTCAACCATTAAATGATAGCCATAGGTTTCTCGACACTGTGAGACTATGCTTTGCGAGTACAACAACCTTTTAAATTAGGATTCTGTGGATAAAGCTACGCTAGGGTCGCACGGCATGGATATTTTAAAAGAAAATTACATTGAATTAATATAAGTGCGCCCACTACAGCGGGACGGCCAGCAACGGACATCTAGTAGCTTCTGCCGTTTGTTAAAAAGTCCGATAGACAGAACTCTGGGGGCATTTCCTAGCTACCAACTAGACAAGGGTCACGGGACTTCTGCCATTCTCCACACTGGTCTCACGTTCTCCGTCAAAGTCGGACTCACAGTTTTAGCTCGCAGGCTGTCCTAAATTGCGGATGTGCGGTTGTCCCGTCTCGTCCGACTGTGCCTTGCCGCCCTAGCTCAAATTCATCATAATTTAAGAGAATTAATATTGTCTTGTAGATGAATAAAAATGGACTATCATTTAATTTTTTCTCACATTAAAACAATCATAGTTGATATAGACTGAGACTTGTAATATTCTGCATAAGAAGCCAAATGGGCCTTAGTATTCATTTGCACTGTGATAGCAACAAAAACAGTTGCTAATTTCTTAATGTCCGAAATATATTCTTTTGAAATTAAATTATACACTTTAGAGCTCACTATCTGAAATTTTACATTGATTATCTACAGTTTCTGTAAACGACTTTCAAGACTAACCGATTAGGAAAAATTTATATTTGCAACTCTACCACATTGTATTTTTCTTCCTCCCACTATTTATTGTTAAAGTTATTCAACAAAACCTTTTACACAGTACTTTCAACAACTCAAAAGGAGACCTAACTACCAACAAAACTCACTTCTTTGACGGGATGTGATGATTCTCTCTTTGGATCGTGAGGGATTATGTTCGTGACAGCGTGCCAGACAACTCCGAGACGAGAGCCAGCCATATAGTCTGTAATGAATGTAGGAAGTTGCACATACAATGATTCTACAAAAGAGTAATAGCTTAACAACAAAAACTGGTTAATCAAGACTAGGTTACATGGAAAGTCTTTGATCATTTAGCTTTTGATTGATGATTCTGCTAAGTAACCAGCTTAATGTATCATATAATAAAATAAACAGTTACCTTGTTCAATATCCTTTGGTGCTATTAGATGACGACCGGTTTCGTGACGACAATCACATCATCAGGTCAATCCTCGTAAAACGATTCGTTATAATAAATACATAAAGTTTTTACTGAACACAAGACGAAAACACATTATATTTACAAAATATTTACACACAGAAACCATCGCGATGCGTGCACGCTTATGTCGAGCCGGCCGCGACTGGAGTTCCGTCGAAGGTCAAGGTGACGTCATCTGCAATCAGCTGATCGGTGGTTTCAGGTTTCCTTTCTCTGTCTAATTTGATGATAGTGTCAAACAACTCGTTCGCCTGACTATTGATTTTGTCATTTAAAATATGTTTTGTTTCTAATTTAAAGGCCTTATATATTTAAAAATTTTCGAGAGCTGTTGTTTTGGCTTTATTGTTGCATGTATGAATTACTGTCAAATTTTCTTCGATCTTTGAATAGTTGTGGTTGCTACTGACTAGGTGTTCGGCGTAATTAGACTTTTGAGCCGGGGTGTTTTTTGGTAAATGCTCTTTATACTCTTTATATATGCTTTGAACTCTGATTAAAGTATCAACTCCATCAGCATTTACATTATTTATGAGAGTGGTTCACCCCTAGTCATATTTCTATCCAACGTTCACCATTATGTTGGATATGTTGGATGTTCACCATTATTAATGGGTAGCCCAATGACAATGAACCCAATGCCTATGCCTCTTATTCACATCCTCAAAATACCTGTAAATGTTGAGAGTTTGAGGTGGATATTTGGACCTCCAAATATTGGTGGAAATATTTATTGTTCTCCATCGTAATGAATACAAAAACCACAATGTCTACTTTACTATTTTTACATGTTCAAAACGTTATTATTTACCTCATATATAATATCTTTTTCAATACCCTAACATATTCTCTTACCTCTATGCTGGATGGTTTTTATCTTGTAAAACTCCTTGAGTACATCCATTTGCAGCTGGACTGCGAAGGGCAGCTTGATATGTAAACTGCGGCTGCGCTTGCCTCCGTACCACTTGTTGTTTAGTGGGTTGTACAGCTGAAGACCTGTGATACCGTTCCAGGAGTATCTAGAAAAGTAACGTTAGCTGTAGCAAATATTTATTTAAATAGAACATAGCTAAATGAGCAACTCACAGAGTGCTCTGCTGTAAAAGTTGTGTTTTTATCACTTAGTTTTTGATACTTTGATATTTGATGTGACTTGTGAAAAATGTTAAAAGAATGAATAAAACTTTATTAGGGATTAATTTTTAAAAATCAATTTTTTCCATGCTAGTAAGGTGGAAAATTCTTGGTGTACACCAAGTAAACTAAAATTAGGTTAGGCAGAGTTTACAACTGGTATGTGATGAAGTGATTTTATATTCTATCTTAAAGTTTTGGATACTTGTAATATATAATCAAGGCTTAAGAGGACTAGATTGTTTTAACGGTGTTGGCTGCACTGTACCAATGCCGTGACGTCATTGCTACCTACCAGATTGCCCGCTGAACGTCTGTCTAACGTCATCCATGCTAAAAGTAAGTCATGTTCTATGTTGTGCGTTATACCTAAAAGTAGTGCAGTTCTTTATACATTTCATTGGCGCAGTCGGTAATTACGGATTTCTTTCTATGGATTAAAAAGTAAAAATCTTTTCCGCGAGTGTTAATGGGAGACAAAAAGGACAAAGGAAAAGGATCTACTGTGACGAAAATGTCAGGTATTGGGAAGGTGGGAGAGTTTAATCCCCATGAGGAAGCCATTGAGTCGTATTTAATGCGTCTCAAACACTATTTCAAGGCCAATAGTATTGAAGATGGTAGTAAAGTTTCAGTGTTGATTACTGTTCTGGGCCCTAAAATATTAGCAGTTTTGTCAGATATTGTGTCTCCTGACGAGGTGGATAGTAAATCTTATGAAGATTTGTCAAAAGTATTGGTCAAACATTTTTCCCCAAAGAAGTTAGTAGTGGCGGAACGATACATGTTTTATTCCAGGGTACAAAAGCCTACCGAAACTATTTCTGAATTTGTTGTAGCTATCAAGCATTTGGCTAGTACTTGTAAATTTTCTACATTTCTGAAAGATGCCCTTAGGGACAAATTGATTTCTGGAATTAATAATGAGGTGATACGACAAAAATTGTTGTCTGAAGACTTAGATTTTGAAGAAGCTCAGGCTTTGGCTCTCAGGCTGGAACAAGCAGAGAAGCAAACAGGTCTTTTCAGTTCGAAACAGGATGTTAACAGTTTGAGTATGAAACGTGGTAAAAATGTTTTACCTGCTAGCTCTTTTAATAAATCCAATGTAAATGGTTATTTTAAACCAAATATGGGGTTTAATGGGAAAAATAAGTGTTACAGGTGTAATTCAGTGGAACATAAAGCTAATGATTGTCCATATTCTAGTTACAAGTGCAATGCATGCAATATGGTTGGGCATTTGTTCAAGGCTTGTAAGTCCCGAAATAAATTTAACAAGCAGAATTCAAAGTCCAAGAGTGGAAGATTTGCCCCACACAAGGTGCATCATCTTAATTTGGAAGAGGAGGACCCTAGGCCTAGGCCTAACTTGGATATAGTCAAGGAGACTCGGGACTTGTGTTTGTACAATCTAGGCCTATCTGACGGTACAGAAGCTTACAAGGTAAGACTAATGATAGAAGATGTAGTTGTAGAAATGGAAATTGATAGTGGATCAGCAGTATCCGTGTGCCCGTCTGAGGTTTTTGCGGAAAAATTTCCTAATGTGGAATTAAATCATGTAAATTTGAGTTTATTGACATACACTGGTGGGGAGGTGCCTGTGCTAGGCCAAGCTGATGTAACTGTAAAATATAAAGGTCAAGAAGTTATGTTGCCCTTATTGGTTGTGAAAATGTGTCGTAGGAACCAGCCTATGTTGTTGGGAAGGAGCTGGTTGGCCAAGTTGAAACTTGATTGGCGTTCTATTTTTTCAGTAGTATCGGAAGTAGGCCTACAGAGTAGGCCTAGTAATCAAATTAATTTGACTTTGTCTGAGCCTAACCCTGTGAGTAGTGTATCAGGACCTAGTTGTAAGGATCAACTGAGTAGGCCTAAGCTTAGCAGTACAACTGAAGTTGATGTGCAAACGTTGAAAAATAAATATGCTATGGTATTTCAAACGGGAGCTGGAGAAATTAAAGGGGTTACTGCTCACATTATTCTTAAAGACAATGTAGTTCCCAAGTTTTGTAAATATAGGCCAGTGCCTTATAGTTTGAGGGAGAAGGTTGAACAAGAGTTAGACCGAATGGTTAACGATGGAATAGCCTATAGGGTTTCCAGCTCCGAGTGGGCTACACCGTTGGTGACGGTTCCTAAACCAAATGGCGTAAGATTGTGCGCCGATTTTAAGGTAACGTTAAATCCGGTGCTGCAAACAGAGCACTATCCGCTTCCGCAACCGGAAGATATTTTTGCGTCGTTGTCAGGATGTACATACTTTTCAGTAATCGACCTCACAAATGCCTATCAGCAGTTAGCAGTAGCAGAGGAGTCACAACCTTTGTTAACCTTGACTACCCATAAAGGACTTTTTAGATTGAGACGTTTGCCGTATGGGTTGTCGTCCGCACCGGCTATTTTTCAAGCAGTCATTGATCAGATTGTATGTGGGTTACCAGGTACCGTAGCGTACTTGGACGATGTTCTAGTGGGAGGCTCAACACGTGAAGAAGCTTGTAGTAGATTAGAAAATCTGTTTCAGCGTCTGATGGATTATGGAGTTCGGGTTAACGAGAGCAAGTGTAAATTTTTGCAGCCTAAGGTTGAGTATTTAGGCTATGTGGTTTCAGCAACGGGAATCAGCCCCCAGCAAGGGATTGTGTCGGCTATTCGAAATGCCCCGGAACCGAGTAACAAGGATGAGTTAAGGGCCTACATTGGGTTGATTAATTACTATGGAAAGTTTATTTACAATTTGTCATCAAAAATCAGTTGTTTTTATGATCTTTTGAAGAAGGACGTCCCATGGAAGTGGACCAAAGAGTGTTCACGCACTTTTGAGGAAAGTAAGTCATGGGTTCTTGACTCCAATATTTTGGTGCATTATGATGTGTCTAAGCCACTTGTTTTAACGTGTGATGCTAGCCCTAGGGGAGTGTCAGCCATTCTGTCTCATATGGTCGATGGAGAAGAGCGGCCTGTAGCTTTTGCGTCCAAAACTCTTAGCCCTAGTGAGAAAAATTATTCCCAACTACACAAGGAAGCATTGGCGTTGATATTCGGGGTAAAGAAATTCCACAAGTATATTTATGGTCGTAAGAACTGTGTGTTACAGACGGATCATCAGCCGTTAGCGGCAATTTTTGGAACAAAACGTGGTGTACCTAGCCTAGCTGCGGCAAGACTTCAGCGATGGGCTCTCATTCTGGCAGCATACAATTTTGAGGTTAAATATCGAAAAGGGGTTGACTTACCCCACGCTGATGCGTTATCACGTCTACCTCTACAAGACGATGAATCGTTGGAATTGGAGGATAATTATGTTTCACATGTTGAGTCTTGTGTTCAAGTAATCAATTTCTGCAGTGTGAGTGATGATTCTCCGATTACGTCTTTGGACGTAGGAAGATTGACGGACAAAGATCCATTGTTGTCGAGGGTTCGGGACTTTGTTTTACATGGCTGGCGGGAGGTTCAAAATCCTATGTTGCTTCCATTTCAGAGGAGACGATTGGAGTTGTCAGTGGACAAGAATTGTATCTTGTGGGGAAGTCGGGTGGTGATTCCTGAGATGTTGAGGGAGAACGTTATCCAGATGCTCCATGAACAGCATCCTGGTATAACCCGGATGAAGTTGTTGGCTAGAAGCTACGTGTGGTGGCCAGGTATCGAAAAATCCATTGAGGAGACAGTGGCGTCTTGTTTTGTATGTCAAGGCACGAGAAATGCCAGTCCTAGAGTTCCATTGCATCAATGGCCGTTAGCCACGGAGAGGTGGCGCAGAGTTCACATTGATTTTGCAGAAGATCCCACGTCAAGACAGCAGATGCTCATCCTAGTCGATAGTTACTCAAAATGGATTGAGGTGTTTCTGATGAGCTCTACATCTTCCTCCAAGACTATAGAGAAGCTTCGGACTTTGTTTGCAGCCTATGGTTTGCCCGAAGAATTGGTTTCTGATAATGGTACCTCATTCACTAGTCTCGAATTCCGTGAATTCCTTAGAAAGAATGGTGTCAAATTCACCCTGTCCCCACCCTATCACCCGGCATCCAACGGAGCCGCAGAACGTTCAGTTCAGGAAGTCAAGAAGAGTCTGCTGCGCCAGGTCTTGAGTGAGAAGCGCAGTCATCCTACTTCTTTACAGCATAAGCTAGATAATTTTCTATTTTCCTATCGCAACACCCCCACTTCAGTGACAGGCGTGAGTCCGGCTGAATTGTTCCTACGCTGGAAGCCTAGAACTCACTTAACAATGTTGAAGCCAAATTTGCTTGATGAGGCCAGGAGGCAACAGGAGTTGCAAAAACGGGCAGCAGATAAACACAGAGGCTCTGATAGGTCCTTCAGTGAAGGCCAGCATGTGTTAGTAAAGACGGTGAGGCAGGAAAAAATTTCTTGGGTTCCCGGCCAAATTGTGGAGTGTAGAAGTCCAGTAACTTATCTTGTGAGGGTCCTGAACCGCACCAGGTTTTGTCACGCTGATCATCTAAGACCAAGTCAGGTGGAGGAAGAGGAAATTTTGGTTAGAAGAGAGGAAGTGCCAGATCCACCGGAATCAGTGACCGTCAGCGTGTCGCCGGAGAGAGTATCTCCAAGTCGGCAGAGTTTGCCGTCATCGCCAAGGGCCAGAAGTCCACCGTCACCCCAAGGACGGAAGTCGATGGAAGAGGGGCAGCGTCCAGAGGTGCAGTGCAGTCCAACTCCTGTGGTTAGAAGATCGCAGCGGACTGTGCGCAAACCAGCTAAACTGGACTTGTAAGTGTGTATACACACGATTCAAAAAGAAGAATTTTTAGTTGATTATTTAAAAAAATATATATAAAAAAAAGAAGAAAAAAAAATGGAAGTTAAAAAATTGTTTGGTTTTAAAGAACGTTTTATGTTGAATTAAAGTTTTATAAGAAGTTTTAAGTTGTGGGCCAACTATTTTATAAGGGTTGGCGAGTGTAATATATAATCAAGGCTTAAGAGGACTAGATTGTTTTAACGGTGTTGGCTGCACTGTACCAATGCCGTGACGTCATTGCTACCTACCAGATTGCCCGCTGAACGTCTGTCTAACGTCATCCATGCTAAAAGTAAGTCATGTTCTATGTTGTGCGTTATACCTAAAAGTAGTGCAGTTCTTTATACATTTCAATACTGAAGTAAACGAACCATACAGAACTGTTGTTGCCAAATTTTTTACATGATAGAACATGGTTGAATGAGCCAACAGAGTTGATGTCAAAATTTGATTCCTTTAGTATTTGGTACTATTTTATGGTTAAACTACTACATTATACTATAAAATATTCTATGGTTGACAATAAGTGCTTTCAATTCTTGCCTTCAGTGATTGCCATTAGCCCTCACTGTGGGTAGCCCAAATGCAACTACAATTTATAAAACTGGCTGCAGTTTTATTGAAATGTCTATTTCATTTCTACAAATACTCAACTATTGATCTACCTCAAGTCCAGCTCAGCATTACGAGCTCTACCCTCATCGTCTTGACTGACACTGCCGCGTGCAGACACCAACGTACCACTGCGGATCTGTATGAGTGACGGCGTACCAATGTCCGTGGGAAGACTCTGCGTCAGGAACAGTGGAAACATGAGGCGTTGATAGTTCACGCTGAACTCGAAGTAGACGGAGCTCAGCTTTCGGACAACTGTCAACAGATAAATGTTAGTTGAGCTGTTTTAGTTTTGTGAGAAGCAGTAGGCTTAGTTGTTTTGGCTACTGAGCATTCCATGGACCCTCAAGATGGGAATTCTAGTTGAAATCTTTTTGAGCAGGGACTGTGAAGTAGAGGAGGAAAAGTGTTTATTGATGATACTAACCCTGTTTGATCTGTGTAATTAAACGGTCAAATTAAATGTCAAAAGATGGGCAGAACATGTACTGAGAATTGGAGCAGTGGTGGAAGATGCAGAGGACCGGATAATGTGGCAAAGAATTTTTGGTGTGGCTAAAAGCTAGTTTACCCTACCTGTAGTTATATTGTTGAATGAAGAGCTATTCAAGTACTGGGTTATAATAGTTCTGCCATCCACCTTGAAGATGAACTCCAAATGAATCTCCTCCTGTTCTTTGATTGGAGCCTTGAGTGTCTTCAACAGCTGAGCAATCTTGGCAAAGTTGATGTTGGCGTGAACTGTCATGTTGTGCAGCTGGCGCTTGATCCCTTCTCCAACGCCTTCTGCTTTGATGTACAGCTGCATAAGAAAAACTAGAGTAGAACTCAAACATCCCAAATCCATTTCAGAAAAAGTATATAACTTTTTTTAAAGGTTACAGCCACAAGATGTACTAGGCAATTTTACTTACTCCCTACATGCTGTGTAGATCAGTGGCTATGGTGATCAGAGGATCTCCATTAATTTTTCCTAGTATGATTCAGGAGATAATTTAATTCAATCTCTCGTATTTATTTTGTGTTTTTCAATAACATTGGAATTAAGTTTTTAAGAAATAATGGCCCAAAGGCTGGTATATTAGTATCTAATATTGACCTTTTGTTTGAGCGTTAGGTTAGCATCATTAGACATGACAGATGACATCTGGGTCCATATCAATACCAATTGTGATCAAACCATTGACCTTCAGATTTTGAGGCATATACATTGTAACCAATCAGTTACCAAGACAATTGTTTGCAAACACTGTGGCTAATAAACCAAACAAACCATGCACTTGTACAGTATCTTAAAACAACCATGCAAAATATGAAAAATTGTTTACCGCATATGAAGTGGTGACGCCCAATGAATGCTGCTCAGTCATAAATATGAAAACATTAGGCAGCCCTGTCCGTTCACTACCGATGGACAAAAGCTGCAAAACTCCACCGAACCCTCGCTCCTTGTCCTCATAGTCTAGAAGATAGTTTCCTGTTGCCCAAATTGTTGTTTTCTTTGGAACATATCTTGTAAGTTGGGACGAAATTATACCTCTGCAAAAAAATCCAGATATCAAGTTGTTATAGGTTTGAAATAGCATAGTCACTTAACTTAATGTGGGTGATTCAAAAACTCACATTCAAGGATTATTAGAACAAAAATATAAATTAGGCAAGAGTGTGGGTTGGGCAAGATGATTTTTATCTTTGCCACTGGCTATGGTTCTGAAGTTGGGTCCATTAAATTTCAAGACAGCCCAATATGCTACAGGTGCAGTCTTGGTTCTAGTTAAAGAACAAACTGCCATCTAATTTATTCAACACTCATCACTTATCTTTTACTTGAAATATCCACAGTGGTGAGTTGGAGTTATTCTAGTTTGATTCAAACTGCTTTAGGATTGGGGGCTGGAGGCTCACCATGGCCTAGACCAATCAGTAAGGGGCATTTGTCATAGCAACAGTTGTATTCCATGTTGCCAAATTTCTGTAGTAGTTGTTGTAGATCAAAGCTGCAATTAAAATAAGCTTAGCCTTGAAGAAGAGGACAGCAGTACCCCTAGGGTGTGCGTTGAATGAGCAACAGTGCTAGGATGTCTTTTCACTCTTTTCCCTACCACTGACACACCCGACACAACCACACACTAATAATCTCATCTTAATACAATCTACAGACTTACAGTTGAGAGTAGCAGGGGTAGGTGGTTGAAGCTAGAGACTTGACAGTTGTATAGAAGAAGTTGTACAGTTGAAGGCTAGGCTCGGTCTGCATGTACCAGAACAAACTGATGAATCGGTCCGGTGCCGGTTTGGAGAGAACGAGCATCGTGAGAGCCGCAACTCTCACCTCCAGAGTCTGCGACCGGTTGCACAAAACTGGCCAGAACAGTTCAAAGATCTGCCACAGGTAACATATTATAATCACTTCAACAGGGACGTACTTCTGTATGAATGTAGTCTGTGAATACTTGGTGAGTGTAGAATGGAGTGAATGATCTTTGTAGCTTTTTCTGAATAAGATCTGTCTCTTTCAAGACCATTCATTAAAATACCAATAATCCCAGATTTATGAGTCAAGTTTTAAACCGTGGAAAGATTTACGTACGTACATTGGGATAATATGGTATACTATAAGACCAAGCCATTCCTACAAATAGGTACTACATTATTAATTGATTCATTGGGAGGAGCCAACCATATCCCTAATTAAGTCAGAAACAATTACTTTATCTACAGGGTGGGACATTTCATTTTAAAAATACATAGGTTGACAGGATTTTACAAAAAGAGATTGAAAGCGCGGGAAACTGGCGTGGCCAGAAAGTTTACGCGTTCAGAAAATATTCACATTCAAAGTTGTTCGGTGGAGCAATTCATTTATTGAAAGAAAACCCAATGATCGAGGACTTTCTCAGCTAAACAATGTATTCCCTGTTTGTTTACCTTGTTGGGATACGTGTAGACAGTATTGATGACAGCCCACGTAGACAGGAACTGTATGTGATGATCTGTGGTCGTCTGGCCTGTGATGATCGGAGCCAGATAGTCCAGACTCTGTTTTAGCTCAATGTTGGACAGTCCCTGCAGATACAGCATGCGCTCCTCGTACTCTGTGCTCTCTGTAAATTGTTGAATGTTCTTCTGTATTTGATTTATTTTTATTATGAAAGTGATATTGTTGTAAGTGTTTGTAATGGTAGCGTTTTATTACTTCTTTACTGCAAATTCCAATATTTTTATCATCATATTGGAAATTTCTTGATACTTCACATATGCAACAGAGGTTTTTCCAGCTTTGTTTTAAGAAAATTTGTAATAAAGTATATTAGTTTAACCATGCCTTACATACTTTTTATTACAAACTCCAAGGTAACTCTTATCCCAATCTTAAGGTTTTAGAACAGTTAAAATCTCATGTATGTGAAATAGGGAAATGATGAAAATTTATATACCGGTACTTAGAAGGCAATCTAGATTACTCCACACTGAACAATAATATTTTAGAATCATTTTAATATTCAAAACGAAACAATAGCGTATTACCTGATGATGTCAATGTATTGAGAAAACATAGTAAACTACAACAAAATTGTAACACCACAAGGTAACATTAATATTTCTTAATAATTTAATTCAAGATTATGACAGGATATCTATATAAGCATTGATTCCAACTTTGATTGAAAAAAACTTGATCGAATCTAAAGCAATTTCTTTAAATACTTTTCTATCAATTATGTCTTTTTAATTCTTTATTTCTTTGTAAAACATTGTCCATTACCTGTAAATCTGTCCAGGTAGAACTTGGCGTATCTGTCAATAGTATCGGATTTGCACCCCAAGTTGCAAACTTTATGGAGAAGGTTGGCAAAAGTGAGAATTGCCGAATGTCTGACGTCCTTTCCTATTGGGTAGCTCCAGTGCAAAAACTCCTGGAAATCACAAGTACTCGCATTATACTAAGAAGCAACACCACTTACAGCAATAAACTATGGGTAGCAATCTAAATTCCAACAAAAATATGTTATTTATGGTGCATTTTTACTAACCACTATGAGTGATTTGCTCTGGTATGTTGTGCCAGAAATATACTTGTGACAAGCAAGCAAGAGCCTGAACGGAGAGCACTGTGCGGAAATTCCTATCACACAGGGTCTTACTCCACTGTGAACATTGAAGTACATGAGAGCGGTGTTGCACTTTGCCCTAGACACCACCTTAGTGTACCATGGAGGTTATCCTCTGTTCCTTATTGACAGAGAAATTTTCTCTGAGGTATATAACTCAAGCTCAAGCTAATGGGCAAGGTTTGGTCTACTAATAATCAATATAACCAACAATGAAGATGGAACCAAATGCTCGACCAGCTGCATGAACTTTTGTGCATAATTTTCCCCCAACCCATATTCAAAATTGTTATTAATTTCAAGACATTATTGCTTGGAAAAGATATTAAACTTGGTAATCAGTTTGTTTGGTTGTTGTATAAGGATAACTACTAACTGGATATGATATTTTTGAGTTATGGAGATGTTCATACCTCACATTGGGTCAGTAGGTCTTCAGTGGGTTTCCGTTGGTAGAAAGGAAAGTTGACGAGAAGTCGTCCGGCCAGCAAACCTCGGATCCGTTCCGACTTGACCAAATCTCGGATGAACAAAACTGACTGTGGTGAACCAACCACGGGTACCAACTCCCAGAACAGATGCCTTGGAATCACATTTCAGTTAAGTTCAAGTGTTAAACATTGTCTGGGGTGCTTAGTGGTTATAAAGTTACAGTAACAAAATCGTAATATAATTCTTTATAGATGGGTTTTACCTTAATATTTTATAATGTGGTAAATAAAATAGTGTTCCATCATTACCTCTTGGATATTAAAGGAACTATCTCATCTTGGACCACAAGAAGCCTATTTGTTATTAAAATACAGTATAACATACACTGTAGTTGAACGAGCCAAATACAGAGACTGCTATTGTCTTAAGTTTTATTTCCTTGAATTTTGTATTTGATATAGTTGAAGTGACATAAAAAGTTTTATATTTTACAATAATTTGTCCTTCCAGTTGGGTTTAAACAATTAATGTATTCCACAAAGATCGGTAATTTACGTCAGCATACTCTATCAGTGGTTAAAATGAACAAATATCATTTGTATTTCAAAACTAGCTACAGCTTTTCAATTAGAATAGTCTAGTTGTACACATGGTCAGGTGACACTCACTGCATGGTCTCCTGTTGGTAGCTGGTACCTAAAGTGACTTTGTGGTAGAGTTGCTCCCAGTCTTCCAACTCCAGCCACCACATCAGGTTGATCAGACTGAACACTGTCTCATTGTTGAGTCCCCGGGACCCGACCTCCCACCACAAACTGTTGCTGAGGTCTTCCAGCATCGTACTGATCTGTGGGTAAAAATTCATTATGGATCGTTTCGATTAGGATCACTCCCGGCGTCTTTCAGTGACTCCCAACAACAACCAACCGCTCCCAACATCTACCGATTGCTCCCAACATCTACTGCTTGTGTAACATCCACTGATCGCTCCCGACGTTAGCCTAAAAATGGCTTGGAGCAGCATAAAAATGATTTTAGACATTACGACCAATGCTAGATTATTGAAAATACCATAATTTTTCCACCACCCAAATCCATGACAAAAATGAATGTGCTACTTGACAGATTATGTTTTTCAAAAATTTGGGGAGTAAAAATTAAAAGATTAGTCCTGTCCTGAGTATACCTAGTTAAAATATTGATGAACTTGATTATATGAGTATTTAAATTACTTAAGCATGTAAGAGTAGAGTCTTTTATGGTGTATTATGAAATGGACCCTCCCAAATTTTCCAAAAAAGAGTCAAATTCTTCTACTATAATTTTGGTTGTACAAACATACAGTTTTACTCCCATTAACTTCACTACCATGTAATATTTTACTAACCTCTGACAGAACAATAGTCTTGTTGGAAGGTGGCAGTCCATATGTCGCATCGAGAACTATCTCCCTGTAGAAAAGGTCGGTGACGTTCATCGCCCCAGGGAATGACAGCTCTTTCGCTATTGGGCCAACTGACTCCACAAGCAGAGTCTGGCTATTCAACACACGTAATGTTAATTGTTAAGTAAACTACCAGGGCTGCATTTATCAATATAGCTCTGTAAGCCCTAATCTAGGGACCCACCTTGCTGAGAGACGTAATGTCAATCAACATTTATTGTCAAAAGATTTAACTATCCCCTTATTGCTAAGGGAGCGGCTGGCCCAAGGATCGCCCCTACTCACACATATGCAGGCCTCACAAACACAAACGCAAAGGTTAGCAAGGACCATTGATTGAGTGTGTGTGTGTGTGTGTGTCGGGCTTCTCACATCTCACAAGTGGAGCCGAGCTCCAGTCGCGCTCTCTGAGTAAACAATGTATGAATATTATTTACATCTTACGTTCTCTCCGGGTTCGATTCCAATTTATGGGCAATCCACAATAAGCTTAATAGTTTTTAGCTTAGCCAAAGGGACAATTTTAAACAAACCGCGTCCAACTCAGGTGAAAGTGACGGCATTAGTGACTTTAATGGAAAATGATCCCAGCACCGGTTTTGCGTCTTTTTACACTTCGTTGGAGGAGGAGGACGCCGATTTTTAAGATTAGAGTTTAATATGGCAATGTCAAGCTGGAAAGGAATGGAAATCAACTAACCTAAAGAAACACTGGCATAATCAAGATATTATTGGAAATCCCCATGTAAAGGGTTTTAAACAGACATACAGACCTAAATTAAACTAAATTTTTATAAATAATAGAACAATAAAAGGATCAATTGTTGGCTTTTACAAACATACTCACTTAACTATTGATGTATGCGCCTCTGCCCTTGATTGGTATGGCTCCAGCACAATTGCAGCTTTTGACGTTATATTTTTTATGAGGAAAGGAGCGTCTTTGTCCACAAAGTAGGCTCTCTCGGCATGAGGGAGCACCTCTGTCTAGGAAATATATTGAACATAAATTAATATTAATAGATTATACCCCAATAACTTACTAAAATATTTGTCAACATAGGATTCCGACTTAAATCAGGTAAATACTCTACACGAAAATACCTTAGTTTGGTAATGTATCAGTCTCTCTCTGTGGCGATGGGTAAGTGGCAACTTTTCTAATATTTTGTTAACCAGCATAAAAACTTGTAACATTGTGAATATTTTCATTCATCTCAAAGAATATATTTTTTTTATGATCTAACTAAATAAAGATTAGCCAAAATGGTGCTGAGTTAAAAATAAACAAGATTTTAGTTTGTTAATTGTAAGAGAAGGGAAGTATGATAGGCAGGACCGCAACCTGAGGTGATAACATAACGGGCAAACCTAGTACTGACCACCTGCAGTCAGGACTTAAACTCCGTTGGGTTAGCGGCGTTTGTTACTGATCAATTTCACAAGTCTCAATAATGCAAAAACTTCACATTATTCAAGTTTTTTTTTTCTTGAACCTTGAAATCAACAGGGAAACTTGTACAGATTAACCTAGGTCAATTTAATTTTGTATGTCTCAAAATAGCTTAAAAATCACTCATTTAGCACTGTATTTTGAAGTCTTTTCAGGGGGGTTGGGTTATCCCCAGACCGCCCTCCTTTGCCCCCTTCGCCAGAATATAGGTCTAGGACCACCCTTCATGCAAAACTATTTATACTCCGTTCACACAGTTTAGGCAGTTTAAAGGGAATCGATTCTATCCCCTCCACCTCACTCTAACTTTGAAACAACAGCCGACAGGTACATTAAGCTACACATTAAGCTGATATATACGTAAGCTATATATACATAAGCTGATTTTATATACATTAAGCTAAAAAATTGCTGTGAGAACCCAAGAAACCTTCCCCATAAGCCACCTCAATTTTTTGAACAGACTATAGGATATCAAATTAAATGTTACTGGCTAAAATTACATACCTGGTAGCTGCTTGGACAAAGCAATTTTGGACTGCTTGACCAAAATGTGCTTGGACTGTTCTTACAAGAGACGAGGTCCAAGATCTTCCGGATATGGTGGACATTATTTCCCACAGGACTTACAATATATTCCACTCTGCAAGTACCGTAGAGACCAGACTGTAAAATAACAATGTTGTAGACAAGACATATCTGTGGAAACTTAAGTCATTAACTATGATAGTGGTTTAAATACCTTATTCATGCAATCCAATTGTTGTCTCCACAACTAGTTTCAACCTGCTAGGAGGTCATCATCAGGTGAGTACAAGGATGAATTACTTCATATGAAGGTCGTCAGTAACAGTTTTTTTACATTTACACAAACACACGACGAATAATAAACACATAGTGCGCACACATATACGGCCGATAAAAACATCGAACTTGACAAGCGGACCCGTGTTGAGAATGCGGAAGTTGCGTCTAGACTGTAGGGTAAACAGCTGGTCAAGCATCACGCGCATTTTCTTATCGCTCGTCGGTTCCATTCCCATTGTCTCTGCCCTCCCCTTCCCTCTCCAGTATTTCTATTGCAGTGTTGTATATGATGTTTGAATTAAAATAAAGTTGGTCGTTTAAAACGTTATCCATGTCTGATTTGACGGCTCTATAAATCTCGAATTCTTCCAGGGTGTTAATTTTAAACTTGTCCTGTGACGTATGTAAAATTTCCATGTTTTCATTAATGCTGTTGTAATTATGCTGATGAGAAACTAAATGTTCGGCAAAGGTTGAAGTTTGTTTTGAGGTAGTCTTCTTTGGTATGTGCTCCTTAAAGCGTTTGGAGAAAGAGCGGGAAGTTTGGCCTATGTAATATTTATTACAATCTGAACAGTTGATTTTGTAAACACCACTTTTTTCATATTTAAGTTTAGTTGTACTTGGTCTTTCTTTCAGAAGTGGTCCCAGATTGTTTTTTGTTCTAAAGGATACTGTTATGTTATTTTTCCCCATTAATGTTTTGAATTTATTACTAAGACATAAATTATAGTCAGCTGATAAGAACTTTTTATTTTGGTTCACTCTTTCTGTTTTGTTTTGGTGTTTCAAAATTAATTTATCTATTAACGTGGTCGTGTATCCATTGGAGACGGCGATGTGTTTAATGATGTTTATCTCTTCGTTGTAATCGTCCGTGCTCATTGGAATTGATAATAATCTATTTACAAAACAATGGTATGCGGCTAATTTCTGTGAAAATGGATGGTGTGAATCTGAATGTATTGTTTGATCGGAGCAGGTGGGTTTTCGGTAGATTTTAAACTTTAAGCTGTCACTATGTTTTGATATGGTAAGGTCCAGAAAATTAATGGAATTATTTTTCTCCTCTTCTAGTGTAAACTTAATATTATTGTGAATATGGCATAAATAATCATTTAGAAGGGATAGCTGTCTGTTGTTACCATTGAACAGGACAATGGTATCGTCTACATATCGATAGTAGAAAATTATTTTGTTCTTATATCGGTTGGAGTCAGTAAACAAGTGCTGGTTCTCGATGTGGTTTAAGAATACTTCAGAGAGAATGCTGGAGAGGGGGGAGCCCATGGCTAGGCCGTCATTTTGTAAGTAGAACTTATCTTGAAACTGGAAGTAGTTCTGTTTTAATATCGTATTTAATAGTGAAACTAGTTCATTGATGGCGTTGGGTGACAATTTGGAATTTTTTCGAAGGTTTTGTTCAAGTATTTGCACGGTTTCTTTGACGGGTACATTCGTGTATAAATTAACAATATCAAAAGATGCTAACTTATAATTTCCGCTAATTTGTTGTTTTTTGATTTTTTCAACGAGTTCAATACTGTTCTTGACACTGTGATTATTTTCCAACACAATTTCTTTCCTTATAATTTTATCTAATCTCTTAGCAACTTTATATGCTGGGGAAGGCATGAAATTTACTAAAGGTCGGATTGGGACATCTGGTTTGTGAATTTTCGGAAGGCCCCTGAGGACCGGTGCTTGTGGGTTCGTTACTTTTAGAGAAAATATATCATTAACTGACAATAAGTTCTTGCTCTCAGATATTGATTTATTGATTAATTTGGCGTAAGAGGATGTTGGATCTTTGTTAAGAAGCTCGATGTTATTGTTACTTATAAAGTCACAAACTTTATTCACATAAATATCTTTATCCATTATGACAATTGAGTTGCCTTTGTCGGCTTTTGTAATCAATGCGTTCCCCTCAGCAAGTTTGTTCCTGATGCTAGTTACAGCCTGTCGCATTGACTTGTACTTGTTGTTTAGTTTCCTTGTGCCTATCGAGTTCCTCATAACCTGTTTGGCTTTACTCGCCATGATGAATCTAGTGGATTCACGAATGTTATCGTCTCTAATTGCTCTTATTGACGATTCAATGTTCAATAACTCATTGAACAGACTGAATTTTCTGTTATTCGGGAAGTTGAAATTGAGACCTTTGTTCAATAAACTTAATTCAATGTCATTAAATTGTATGTCTGTATTGTTTATAACCCTCTTAAAAAATGTGTGTGTGCATTTTATTACTTCTTTAGCATGTTGAGATTCCAATAACTTTTTGATTTTTTTATCTTGGGTTTTCTTTTTAGTAAAAACCTTTTTACTCACTTGTTGGTTAATTTCACTAAGTACATTTGTCTGTTGGCTAGGATGTAATTTATTTAATAACTCTAGGTGTTTCGTTAATAGAAGTTTGTTCAATCGGCTTTTCTTGGAATAAAGATGTTTTACTTCATTCTTAATCCATATGGATTCGGCAGACTTTTTGGCTTTTAAGGCAGCTTTAGATTTACCACTAACTTTTATGTTCACATAATGTGGCACTACGTTATTGTCTAAACATGTTTTGTTGAATCTTATGTTCTCTATTGTTTTGCATAATTTTAGTTTTATACCCTTGTACTGAAAGGCTAACTTTGCTTGATCAGCTTCTAACTTCATTATGGTGTGGGTAGCCTCCGGATTGCGAATAATAACTATGATAGTGGTTTAAATACCTTATTCATGCAATCCAATTGTTGTCTCCACAACTAGTTTCAACCTGCTAGGAGGTCATCATCAGGTGAGTACAAGGATGAATTACTTCATATGAAGGTCGTCAGTAACAGCTTTTTTACATTTACACAAACACACGACGAATAATAAACACATAGTGCGCACACATATACGGCCGATAAAAACATCGAACTTGACAAGCGGACCCGTGTTGAGAATGCGGAAGTTGCGTCTAGACTGTAGGGTAAACAGCTGGTCAAGCATCACGCGCATTTTCTTATCGCTCGTCGGTTCCATTCCCATTGTCTCTGCCCTCCCCTTCCCTCTCCAGTATTTCTATTGCAGTGTTGTATATGATGTTTGAATTAAAATAAAGTTGGTCGTTTAAAACGTTATCCATGTCTGATTTGACGGCTCTATAAATCTCGAATTCTTCCAGGGTGTTAATTTTAAACTTGTCCTGTGACGTATGTAAAAAAAGAAATTAGCCGCATACCATTGTTTTGTAAATAGATTATTATCAATTCCAATGAGCACGGACGATTACAACGAAGAGATAAACATCATTAAACACATCGCCGTCTCCAATGGATACACGACCACGTTAATAGATAAATTAATTTTGAAACACCAAAACAAAACAGAAAGAGTGAACCAAAATAAAAAGTTCTTATCAGCTGACTATAATTTATGTCTTAGTAATAAATTCAAAACATTAATGGGGAAAAATAACATAACAGTATCCTTTAGAACAAATAACAATCTGGGACCACTTCTGAAAGAAAGACCAAGTACAACTAAACTTAAATATGAAAAAAGTGGTGTTTACAAAATCAACTGTTCAGATTGTAATAAATATTACATAGGCCAAACTTCCCGCTCTTTCTCCAAACGCTTTAAGGAGCACATACCAAAGAAGACTACCTCAAAACAAACTTCAACCTTTGCCGAACATTTAGTTTCTCATCAGCATAATTACAACAGCATTAATGAAAACATGGAAATTTTACATACGTCACAGGACAAGTTTAAAATTAACACCCTGGAAGAATTCGAGATTTATAGAGCCGTCAAATCAGACATGGATAACGTTTTAAACGACCAACTTTATTTTAATTCAAACATCATATACAACACTGCAATAGAAATACTGGAGAGGGAAGGGGAGGGCAGAGACAATGGGAATGGAACCGACGAGCGATAAGAAAATGCGCGTGATGCTTGACCAGCTGTTTACCCTACAGTCTAGACGCAACTTCCGCATTCTCAACACGGGTCCGCTTGTCAAGTTCGATGTTTTTATCGGCCGTATATGTGTGCGCACTATGTGTTTATTATTCGTCGTGTGTTTGTGTAAATGTAAAAAAACTGTTACTGACGACCTTCATATGAAGTAATTCATCCTTGTACTCACCTGATGATGACCTCCTAGCAGGTTGAAACTAGTTGTGGAGACAACAATTGGATTGCATGAATAAGGTATTTAAACCACTATCATAGTTATTATTCGCAATCCGGAGGCTACCCACACCATAATTAAGTCATTAGTTTGTATCATACAACACCGTGCAAAAACCAGGACTTTAAACAAATGTCAAACGTTCTTATATAAAAAAAACTATTGTTGAAAGTTTGACTAAGATTCAGATATTCTAGAGGTATTATAGACCTCTATCAAATATAATGTATGTGATCGATTCTAAATGTGTAACAACACTTTGAAAAGAGATTTTTGTTTGGAATACTTAAAAAGCTAGCAAAGACATAAAAAACATACCATCTGTGTTGCTTGGTTTATATGAGATAAAAACTTCTGGCTTTGGAATAAATGAGGGGAAATGATTTACTACACAATCACCTCATCTATCAAAAGAGTCCTTCAAAAGAAGCCCCCTTGGAGGAGAGGATTATCAAGTTAATTGTACTGTGAACTTTAAAATAAAAGTACCTGGGGACCGAGCTTTGCTCGGGTAAAATCATTAGTTTACTATTAAAGCAGTCTTAGTATTGCAGATACATTAATCCATTCCCAAAATCCACCCTCCTCGCCTTTACTACTTCCTTCACCACTTCCTACGTTGTGGGCCTGTTCCTTCCCTTCCCATAGCATTTTGAGATTGCAGATACCTTAATTTAATCGTCATAAACAGTTCCCACACTCCGGACTACTCGCCTTTACTACTTCCTTCACCACTTCCTACGTCGCGGACCTGTTCCCCTCCCTTCCCATAGCATTTTAAGATTGCAGATACCTTAATCTAATCTTCAAAAACAGTTCCCACACTCCGGACTACTCGCCTTGACTACTTCCCTCACCACTTCCTATGTCACGGACCTGTTTCCCTACCTTCCCTTAGCATTTTAAGATTGCAGATACCTTAATCTTATCTTCAAAAACAGTTCCCACACTCCGGACAACTCGCCTTGACTACTTCCTTCACCACTTCCTACGTCGCAGACCTGTGTTTCCCTCCCTTCCCATAGCGTTTTAGGATTGCAGATACCTTAATCTAATAGTCATAAACAGTTCCCACACTCCGGACTACTCGCCTTGACTATTTCCCTCACCACTTCCTACGTCACGAACCTGTTTCCCTCCCTTCCCTTAGCATTTTAAGATTGCAGATACCTTAATCTAATCGTCATAAACAGTTCCCACACTCCGGACTACTCGCCTTGACTAATTCCCTCACCACTTTCTACGTCACGGACCAGTTTCCCTCCCTTCCCATAGCATTTTAAGATTGAAGATACCTTAATCTAATCGTCATAAACAGTTCCCACACTCCGGTCTACTCGCCTTGACTACTTCCTTCACCACTTCCTACGTCACGGACCTGTTTCCCTCCCTTCCCTTAGCATTTAAGATTGCAATTACCGTAACCTAATCGTCATAAACAGTTCCCGCACTCCAGACAGCTTGCCTTGACTATTTCTTTACCACTTCCTACGTCGCGGACCTGTTTCCCTCCCTTCCCCTAGCATTTTCAGATTGCATATACCGTAATCTATCCCACACTCGATACACCCTTGACTACAATGTATCGAGTAATCTTCAGTATAATCTTTGCTCAATAGTAACAACTGATGTTTTTCCTTTAGTACTGTATTTTGTTTTGCTAGTATACTATGGATAGACAACTTACAAGTCTTTTGTTTACTTTTCCTTGTTATTTAATTCAGCCAAGATGGTTACTTAGCAACCCATAAGACTAATGTTAAAAAAATGTGACCTTCAGTTTCGTTTTTCTACGTAATTAGATTTTTGTTGGCAGTTCTAACTGCATGAAACTCGTTTTTAGGCCAAAAATAAACTATTTAAAAGATTTGAAGAATATCGTCGGAGCCGTTTTCGAGATCTTTCTGCAAGCAAGCAAGCAAGCAAGCATACATACAAGCAAACATTGCTCGTATTAGAGTATAGGATAAATATTCTTCTTTATTAAGGCAAACTCAGTACCTCATGGTCCTTTCAAACCGTTAACCTCTACTTTTTTGTCCTATCAATTGGTTAAAACTATTTTTTTGTTAGGTAACTTGATTTTTAATCCATTCCTTCTCCCTTAATGAAAAAGGTTAAAAATATCTACTTTAAGTTTTTTTAAATAAAGGAATAGAGTTCGACTAGCTTACTGGAGAAAATTAGTGTCCAGGGGCAATAAGATGGGCCTACTTGATAAAAGAACACTTCATAACACTGATATTTCGTCCTGATGTAGGTCCTCTACAGAGAGTATGTTGAAGAGAAATATGTCAGCTAAGGTTGAAAATTGGAGTAATTTTCAAATTCCAGACATTTCTCCTACTAGCCGCATGGCTTTCCTTCAAATTATAACCTACTTTAGTTTAAGTACTCAATCATGAATTCAAACAAAAAATAAAGCAATCTCCTGAGTCCAAGAATAATTTCGCATCAATACCATGATAAAAAAAACCTCATTGTGAGAATTTCCAGGTATTCCTTACCTCACTAGATATAAAAGCTGAAACGCTGCCAAATATTCCGTTGATGTCGAGTTGCAGTAAACTTGCCAAAGCTCGTTTAATGTTGATGGACCACTCGACATCATCATTGGTCGTCTCGAGACTCACTAGCGTACCTCCCTTGTACACAGCTCGGAATGGGAGCAGAAGACGGGAAATGTCCACAGTGAACTCATCTTCTGACTTTATATCTGAAAGCTGAAAAGGCAAGCGAGTTTTAATTAATTATATCTGAGTGAAGTCGATGGTAGGGAATAAAAGTAAATTGTAGTAAATTTTTATCCATACCCTCCCATTATTAGTTATTAACATACCTCAATCAATCTACAGTTTATTTAAAAAGTAAAGCTCCATTTTCATAAACTTTTTCGTCTCTTGTTTACAATCTGACTGTGGTTGAACATTCAACTGGATGATCAGCTGTTAAATTGCAATTCACAACCAAACTGTTATAAAGAAATTTGGTCAGCATCACTTATAACTTGTTTGAAAGTGAATTAGAAATAAATAAAACGCAAAGGATGCAAAGCCCTACAGGAAATTTCCTTTTTATTAACCGTTTGTATCCCTCTTTGCTAAATCTTAGCTTTTAAATGACACCTCAATCGTAAAATCTGTTCAGGACGGCTGAAAAAGGAATGTTACAGAGAACCCCCTTACTGAATTAAGAGTATTCATAGATAGTTCCGAACACTAGCAAGGAAAGTGAAGAAAAACTTATCATCGTTATTGTGTTGAAACAGGAATATAATGTTGCATGTTTGAAACAGAGAATCAGAATTTGAATGAAGAATGCTTGAGTGTAGAATCTTTGGTAGAATTGAGTGGAATGACCTCTGTAGCTTTGCCACAAACTATGACCAGAATTTTCTTTAGTCAAGATCATAATACAACCAAATGATGTAGGACGGATGGGTCCAGTTTCGAACCATAAAAAATTATTTCTCAGGATTGTACCAGAGACCCTCTTAATACTAGAGGAGCTGTATTAAGCTGCATGGGTACCCACTCAGCTATACCCAGCTGTATTGAAAGGCACCATGTTTAAATCAAAACACTCCAATCTTAAAATTTAAATAATTGTTTCACTGAATTGTATACCTGCAGCATTATTGCATCTGTTGTTTTTTTAACGATCAAGTTAGCATTTATATTCCATTCTGACAAGGTCTCCTCCGGAAAGTTAGAGCCGACTCTAATTTTTGCAGACCAAGCGAATTTTACTTCCTGATTGACAGCGAACAGCTCTCTCTCTTCTCCGGAGATTGGGCACAGCAAGCAAAGGATACCTGAAACAAACAGTTATATTATTAAAATTTTACAAATTGTATATGTTGAAAAAAAAATGGTAGATAACATCTTGCTACAGTAGCAGAGCTGCTCTTTCGATATAACATAAGTTATAATATCCTTGAACTTCATCCTATAATGCAGAAGTAAATAATCAGAATCTGAAAGGGTTTTTAAGTTAGCCTGTTTACACGAAGCTAGTTGGCAGGCATGTAACCTGCGTCAGATAATTTGAAATACACTTAAAGTCGCGTTTGAATGAGGCCAGTAAAGTAGGCAGGTTGCTGGGCAGGTTACTTGCCTCTAATGTAACCTGCCTGCTCTACTGGCTTCGTGAAAGCGGCTTAAGGATATTAAGGTTCAAAGACTGACTTAGGATTTTGATCATCCTATTGTAAAAGATAAAGCCTGTTTTGTGGTGTGTTGCATTTTTGTGGCAACAATTGAGTATTTTGAGGTAGACTCTTGTTTATCTTTTATTTTAGAGTGCATTTTTATGATGTTAACCTAACTCTTAGCCTATGCTGTAATACCAAAGGACCAGCAATATTTTCACCTGAATCAGTAACCTTTTCTTTTTTTATTGGTGTATCTATCCTACATCTTTTGAAAGTCTATGAGCTATTGGGTTATAGTATTATCGCAAAGCTGATGGATGATGAAGCTATTAAGCAAATGGCAATGGAGCTGGTCTAGTAGTAGAGCACAAGGCTTCCGTCCAAAGATCTTAGGTTAAAATCCCACCAATCACCATTGTTTTTTTATGTGATAATGCTGTGATTAGTCAAAAGAAATGTGTAAAATAGTTCCGAGCTAGAGCCGTAGTTATCTTAGCTAGGATGTAAAAACAATTGAGATTGGCAGGGAAGGACAGAAGTCCTGAAATCTAACAATTATAGTACTTCTAAAACTATAATGCTAGTTATAAAAAGATGACTAAGTAACAAATTAATATTTTTATTAATTGACCCACAGTTAACAATGTTTATAACTTTTCCCTCAACAAATCTGCAGTGGTATTAACAGAAGGTCTCATCAAATTAGTGGGGAAAGGGTCTCCTCTTGCTAGAATTGCTCTTATTTTCTTCAGATTTACAGGGTTCGGGCAGTAGCTATGTTTTGTTGACGATTTTGTTGCAGCTCTTCGCATTCGTTTGACAAATGAATGATCCACAAACATGTGTGAAACTCTAGCATGTTTCTGGGGTAGTACTTGATCTGATTTGAATCTCAAACCACTTATAACCGAAAGGTCCATTACAGCATCTGCAGAATCTTTAACATGATCATCGGAGAAACTAGTTGACTGAACTGTGATTTCTTCACTAGAGTTTGAAAAACTAGTCATTGTAGTTGGAGTTTTCTTAATTGATTCATTATTTTGATCTGTGAGACTTTCATTTGTATTGATTGAATAATCAAAAGAGTTTTCTTTGCCTTCGATGGATTCAGAACCACTAGAAAAAGATAATAATTGCAAGTAAATTAACTTAGTGTGATGGGACATACTTTATTTTGTAGTTTACTAGCATTTAAACAAACCACTTTTGGTATACACTGACTAAATAGGTACCGGTACTCACTAAATACTTTAAAGTCTGTTATTTAGTTTTAAGAAAGGACTATTATAAGAAGAATGTTATAAGAAGAATGACATTTACCTGTCAACTTTGTACATTATGTGCTAATAAAATGATTATGATTTGATTTGTAGCCTATATACTAATGTAACACTATAGTTTTTTTTTTTTTTTTTTATTTGATAATCAAACTGGACAGAGCATTATCTTACGATTCCCCATACAAAAAATGCAAAAAAATCCAATGGCATTGAGATAACAAGCCAATGAAAATGATTGTGTAAGAAGTAGGCTATCAAAAATTTGAAATTAAAAATCTTAGGTCCTGTCAATTCTGAATGGACAGTTTAACTCTTCATAAGAACCAGCAGGGTACACTTCCATATCTGTTGCCACAAACAACCGAATGAGTAACTTAATATTGATTATTTTATTGTTTAATTCGATATATCGTTTGGTTAGTTAGGTTAGGTTAACCTTACCTAACTAACCGAACGATATATCGATTGATATATTCATTCGGTCGTTGTGCCAAAAGATATGGAAGTGTACCCATTGTCTACTTTACCAATGTAAATTTAACAAATTAAAACTACAAAACTAATACAAATTTAGGTACAAAATAACTTAAACTTGGCAACAGTATGTCCGGAAACAAACAAAGATTTTCTGATGATTCTCAGAAAAAGTGATTAGGTCTTACCCTTAATCAAGATTTTCTTTTATTGTGGTGAATACGGTACCTGGTTTCTACAAAAGGAATTCCAGAAATGTTCTTTCCATGTAAAATTTGTCTCGAATGATGATGTTTTCTAATACTCATATTCATTAGGTTGTACAGCGTCCTTTCTGAATCAATATCTGGTGAGTGCAGTAGTATCAAAGATTGTTCAAAAATTGCCATATCTTCAGAATTTAAATCCTGCTCCATCATTTCAATTTGAACTTATTTCTTTTGTGATCATATTGTTTACAAAATATACTTTCAAAACATATGATAATGGTAAATAAATATGATTTAAATGTCAATGCATTCTAGAGAGATCTAAGAACCTTTTACTACTTACCTTACCATTGATTATAGAATTATGACTATTAGTTAAGCGTTATTTAATCATTGTGATACAATAAGCAATACAATAATTTGTGTGTACTGTACTATAATGTATCTAAAGTCATCAATAACATTAATTCTTATTTATCGATTAAACATAGTTACAGTGCTGTGCTGTAAGACTTAAGGACAATTTATTTACAGGATTTACTTACCTATTGCTTGCGCTATTTTCTTAAGAATCACAGTAAAGATTGTCCTTACGCCTACAACTGTAAACTGTTGAAAAGATTTCAACAAAACTAAGACTATTTTAATTGTTGTGAACTTCTGTTAAAACGCCTTTTAAATTACGGAGTAAACACGGCTTAATGGTTTAAATATGCTTAGGTAAAAAACGTGTCTTATTTCCTTTCCCATTTCAGAGAAGTGATAAGTTAAAAGATCACTAGAAATTAAGTTCATGTAAACAATTTAATTTCATTTCATTTCCTTTGATTTGTTTAAATTAGCTGATAACATTGTTAACCAAACTGATATTTTTCTTGTTTTAAGATAAGCCATATACTGAAGCAACTCTTTTGTTTACATTACAATAGGAAACACAATCAATGGAATCCTTCACTGGATAGAAAAACATCCATATTATTAACATACAGTATTATTCTTTTGTATGTTTTTCAGTAGTCCAACATTTTGGCAAATAATGATACATTTTATTTATTTCTACACCACGTTTCAATGCATGTGTTAATTTCCTTCTGCAGTTTGTAAAATATGTATAAATAATGTAATAAATAATGTAATACCCCAAATTGTTTAATATGACCGTTAATTATACTATTTTTACTCAAACTACACCTAACACTGACATTTTCAAAATAAATAATATTTTTACAAATAAGATGTTTTTTAATAATTTATCTAAATTTAGTTTAATGTTGATAAAGGTGCAGAACAGCAAATCTCTGATAAAAATTATAGTTTGATTGCAACTCAACAATTACTTACTTTCTTAGTACAGTATTACCTGATAACTTTCCTCTGTTGGATACTAAAAGCAGTGCCACCGTTAAATTTATGAAACTTATAATAGACTACATAGTTGATACTTGAATAGGAGTGCTGCATGCATTTAGACCAAGCACCCATCCAAGAATGTAGATAGTTATCTCATTCTCTTCTAAGTCTAGCCCAGTTTGCGGTATTATTGGATTCGACATTTCATCAGCCTTTCAATATAATAAATACAAAAATTCTATTTTCCGTTAAGACCAGCATTGATATTTTTATTAAAATTATAAAACCAGCTACAGAAAAAAACTAAAACATAAAAATTTTTATAGTTGGCAAAAAAATCTATGTTTGACATAAACATTGATGTAATGAAAACATCGGAAACCTACCATTTATGGAAACAACATTGAACATTGACAGAAAAACGTCAGTTTCTAAAACATCGACTATCAATGCTAATCCCGAGCTACTTCAAAAAGTTGAATTGTATTTATTTTACTTTTATTCAAATAATTATCTAAAAAATATTTTAAAAGACTTCATAAATATTTACAAAAGTAAAACATTATTTGTACTCAAATAATTAGTACACATAAATAATTTAAGGGGTCTATTAATTTTTCAGAAAACCTAAATTTTACATAGATTGAAATAAACACACACTCCAACAATTTCTACCAATAAATTAATTAATTTGTTTTTGATAATTTTTGTTAGGTTTGCCCTGATACAAAATAATAAAATATAAACAAAATACTAGAAATACATCCTTCAGCAAGCCTGCATATGACAATCACACACCAAGCCATAAAACTATTCAAAGTTTAACAAATTATTTTTTAATACTTACCAAAACAAAAAGTTATAATCCTCATTTTGAACTAATCACCTTTTCACATACAGCGACAAACTGTTTCAGGCTCTCCTGACCTGGCTATCACTGATGGTCACCCACTACTGACCACTTGGTAGAGTCATTAATCCGTAATCACCGGTCAAAGTGCGACCATCACAGACGACAACACCACCACTCATCCGCTTATCTTATTTGTTATTCAATTTTAACCGGTTTCTCGGTAACTGTTTGCTTTCTGATTACAGGGAGGTTATGGTGGTAAAGTTATGGTTTAAATATTTTGATTCTTATTTTCAAAGACAATGTTTTTACATACATTAAATAATCCAATGATTAAGATTGCAGTTACTCATCTTGTTCAACTTAATCATTGAACTATTTGATAAAGGTGTGAAAAAAACTATTATTGTATTAGATAATAAAATAGTCAAGGGGCTAGACCATGAATTTTGATTCTTATTTTCAGTTTTATACAGGCCTAACACAAATGTAGACTACCAGTGTGCATTTTTGGAATTTTATTTTTGTACATACAATGTTTTATTATTGATAGAACTTGAGGTTCCATTCCAATGCTAGTGGTAATAATAATAATAAATAATAAATCTTTATTTGTCGTAAAAATACAATAGTATCATTGACAAAGTCATAAGATGCAGTGCAACTGCCAGGTCATACAATAACAACCTTAACTTGGAACAGGATTTTACAATACAAGAGCTCAACTCAGCTCTGAGCAATACGAAACCAAAAAGGTCTGCTGGGCCGGACGAAATTCCGCCGGAGGTCTATGCTAGCTTCTCCCCTGAAAACAAGGCTGTTCTTCTGGAACTATATAACAATTGCCTCAAGGTTGAGCTCTTCCCAAAGGTTTGGAAGGAAGCCAAGGTGAAGATCATAAGAAAAGGTGGAGTTAGGGATTGGGCCAATCCTTCATCGTACAGGCCTATCAGTCTCTTACCAGTTGCTGGAAAAATCTTCGAAAGACTGCTAAAAGAAAGAATTACAAGATTTCTGGATGAAAACAATCTGCAGAGTGAGCACCAATTCGGATTTAGGGTTGGCAAATCAACTACAGCCGCAATTAATAAATTAATCACAACCACGCAAGCGCTGGACTACGACTACGTAATGGCTATCATGATTGATATAAAGGGAGCTTTCGATGCATTGTGGTGGCCTGAGGTCATGGCTACTTTGAACAAGCTGGGAGTGTCCAAACCAATTTTTGGAGTTCTTCGGTCATACTTGAGTGACAGATCGGTGATTCTCAAGTGTGGGGGTGACCGGGTCACCAGATCCATGACCAAAGGATGCCCTCAGGGGTCAGTTCTTGGACCTCTACTATGGAATCTTACCTTCGACAATCTCCTTCAAAGGGTGTTCCCGGATGATGTCCAGCCAATTGCCTTTGCAGACGACATAGCCTTTCTTGTCCCGGCAAATACAAGGAGAGAGATGGAAGCCAAAGGCAACCGAGTCATGGATATTCTCTCGGATTGGGCCGGGGATGCCAAGATGGGGATTTCCACTGATAAATCCAAAATCATTCTTCTCAAAGGGAATATGATTGCAAGACCACCGGTCATCAAATTCAGAAACTGCAGGATCCCACATGTCAGAGAGGTTAAGTACCTTGGAGTCATCCTTGATGCAGGCCTAACCTTCCTTCCTCACGTCAAGCAACAAGGAATTAAGTCAAGAACACTCTTTGGCAAAATATCACGGACCCTCAAGCTAAGGTATGGAGCAAGTGCGGTAAGCCTCAACTTCTTATATAAAACTGTCTTCATACCAATCTTGGCTTATGCAGTTCAGGCTTGGCAGCATCGCATTCCAAATTACGCCATCAAGAAGAACATGAAAGAGACCCAAAGACAAGTGCTAATTAGTACTACGGGTGCCTACAAGACATCGCCACTACAAGCCCTTTGTGTCATCACAAACAACCCTCCCATCCACATTAAGCTCCAAGAGTTCTGCGAACTCAGTCAGAGGAAGAAAGGCGAGAGAATTGAGACGAGAAGAGAAATCAAGGACCGTTCCCTAACAAAATGGCAAGAAGACCCATTGGCAGACAGCGGATACTGGAAGACATACATTCGGCTTTCTGCCTTCTGTGTTTGAAAGGCAGGAACTCCTTCACCTTCAAGATCTGGACCACTCTGTCATCCAAGTTTTAACGGGCCATGGCCCTTTCAGGGCGTATCTACACAGGTTCATGCGGGCGGAAACCCCAGACTGTCAAGATTGCTCAATGTTGGATGACTCTCTTCACCCGATATTCGTTTGTGAGGCTCAGAATGATTTGAGGGACCAAATCCACAGTGTTGCTGCAGAAGTTGATTCGGCTCCTTGGAACCTGGCTAGTCTCATTAGAAACCCAAGAACTTTCCAGAAACTAAAGGAAATGCACTTAGAAGCCTCTGCAAGAAGGGACATTTGAAGATGCATCTAACCTGCGGCAAACCAACACAGTTGTTACCAAACATCAGTCATTAAAAAAAAAAAAAAAAAAAAAAAAAAAAACTAGTCATTCAAGATTGTTAGATAATTAAGCAAGTTGTTATTCCAATATAGTTTATGTTCAAATTTTTATAATAAAAAAAAAAAAAAAAAGAGAAAAAGTCAAAATGATAAAAAAAAAGGAGCACAAAAAAAAAAATAAAATAACAATCAATCAATAAATAAACGGAGTCTGCACGAAACAAATGGAAAAGGTGCTACACCGGTATACCGAGAGGTGGGTACGGTGTCAAGGAAGAAAAAAAAAAAAAAAAAAAAAAAAAAAAAAGGTCATACAATATTTATTCTCTTTTAAAACTATCTTAAAGGTAATAGCCCAATATTGAAGAGAGAACAAAAAGTAGGCCTATATATATTGAAAAATTTACATAACAAGTTAAAACGGTACAATCACAAATTAAAAACTGCAACTTCTAAAGTGAAAAAATTACAAAGAATACTACAACTAAAACTGGACATCTTCACAACTGAAAAAATCGTCCAGTTTATAAAAGGGGTGTCCCAACAACCATAAGTAGACTCCATAGGTAGAACGAAAATAAACTTAGTTAAACTGGGCTACTGATAGAGTAAGCTGATGAAAATTACTATTTACTTTCTAATACCCCAAAGATTTAACTAAACTCAAAGGAAAACTTATCACAGTGGTGTTCTATTGATTATAAACTATAAAAGAAGTTTTAAAAATTAAATGAAAATAATATGTACAATAGGTTTTTATCTGGAAGAATGGTTGCATGATGAAAATAACATTACTACTTTGAGGAAATAAGTCTGCACTAATGCAAACTATAAAATTAGAATGACTCAAATTTTGTACAAAATATTTTTTATAGATTTTTAAAATGATTGATTCATTGCAGTCACGGTTGACTAAGAACTACGGTTTCACGATTGAAGTAGAGTATGTATCCCACATTAAGTTATTGCAACGCTATATTACTTTCTGAACAGGTACCGGTACCCCAGTTTTTCAAATTCTTGCAAGACCCTTATAGGCATTTATTTATTAGAAAGAGCTTTTGAAGAAAAACATTGGTTGGAAAATCACAATGATTATTTCAAAAGGTTATTGCATAATCAGTCCAGAACAATTACACGCTGACAAGTCTTCATTGAATAATCACTTGGACAACAACACAAGACTCGAAGACAAGAAATAACAATCGTAGCAAAATAAACAGTATTGATTGAAAATTGAAATAAACTGTGGAGTAAATAACGACAGATAAAATCAATACAGAAACCTTTTGATATTTTATATTTAACTTAGGACCTTAAACCATAAAACAAAAAACAAATTCATATTATTTTAAACTTTGCACGTTATTATCACTCATCAACCAAATTACTTATAACATTTTTGAAATAAAATGTTTTCAACCTTTTTATTTACTAGTGTACCTGTTGCTCGAAAACAAAGGATTGTAAAGTACCAGTATTACAGGATTTATTTTAAACTAACAACAGTCATAATTTTTATGAGTTTAAAAAGCTTATGTCATTAATGGAACTACTCACGTTGTTCATAACGGTTTGAAATAATCAACATTTCTTGTTAACATTTTATCATTTTTTAGACGCTGACACCTTGTTTTGTTAGTCTTTTCAAAAAAAATTTCCCCATTTACCCATATCCCCAAAATGTTTTCCATGTTATCTTTGTCATGACACTGTAGCCTACATGGTACCACCTTTGTTACCAGTAACCTATGTTTACAACATTATTTTTTTTTAATAGCGATACAAATTGTTCGAATTAATCTGTCACATTTTTATTTTATTCAAATGGCATTCTTTTGGTTAGTTGATGTAATGGTGTCATTACATTTACCTGTAAAAATGCAGAGTTAAAAGGTCTGATGTTGTTCAGATGGTTTGTTTAAAAATAATTATAAAGGTTTCATGGATGTAGTAATTCTTCCAAAATCACTTGACTTATGGAAACAGAGATTAAATGTCCTTGAACTACCCGTCCACAATATTTTATATAATTTGACTTGCTATAACCTTTTGCTGATATGTAAAACCTACTTACTCAGGGAGTTAAATTAAAAGTTCACCGTCTTTACTAGCTTATGTGTTCACAAAATAAATAACTGATAGAACAGGCTTTTAACACCTTTTTTCAGAGTTGAGAGGTGGTCAAAAAAGGTGGCAATTCAAAAATATTTCTACAATATATTTATTCACAAAAATTCTAAAAAATAATAGAATGATGCACATTTTATAGAACACTGTGAATAATTTAAAAATTTGTACATATTTACAGTTATTTTTAAAATTATATTATTCTTTCAATTGGTGAAAACTATTCAAGAAGACAGTTGTCAAGGTGCAATCTTCAGAATTCCACTCAGCTTATCATAAGCATCCCTGGAACATAACAATTTGTTTTTACAATCTTCGTTAACACTAACCCATTCTACAGCTTGGGTGAGTTTTTTACAATTAAATTTTTCATTTGTATTTTTTTGAGTAGTCTAATGAGTCTCCCCCATTTTCGTTATATATTTTGAGTATTGCAATCATTAACTGACCAAGCTATAGCTACA